CCTTGTTCCTCCGTCAAGTTCCTCCTAATCCTCCTATACATGCAAACATATGATATTTGTCCTTCTCTGCCTGACTTATTTCACTCAGCATAACACCCTCAAGGTCCATCCATGTTGCTACACATGGCCAGATTTCATTGTTTCTCATTGCCACGTAGTATTCCATGGTATAGATAAACCACATCTTCTTGATCCATTCATCTGTTGATGGACACTTAGGCTCTTTCCATGTTTTAGCTATTGTGGAGAGTGCTAGCATAATATTTTCAAGGTTCATCCATACAATATTACGTATGCCATTGTATGCGTACACCACGTTTTGTTTGGACATTTGGGTTGTTTCAGGTCGCTTTATCTTAAGGTCAACTGATTTGGAACCTCAATAGCATCAGCTAAATCCCTTCACAGTAGCACCTAGGGTAACGTTTGAATAACGAGGAGAATGTGTGTGTACAGCAGGGGCCCAGAATGTTGGGTCCACCTTGGGATTCTGCCTACCACACACCCCCTGGAAAGATTGTACTACCCCTGGTTGGAGGTACCATCTTGCCTGCTTTCATACTTTTAATCTATAAATTGTTCAGAAGTGTGTGGAAATTGCATCTCATTTCACTGCCTGCCTTTCCAGCTGGACTATTCTCTGCTCATGACTCCAGTGAGATGAAGGATGCATAACAATCACTTTTTAGCCTTCAGTGAGAGCACTCTGGTTTCTTGTCCCCAACGTTACCTGACATATTTCTTGAGGGTATATAAGAGTGAGCACTAGTGTCCTGAGAATGCGGCAGGATTTGGACTTGTTTGAATAAGAGAATTTAGAGCTGTAACTGCCATGATTTAAGTCAGCCTCATGCTTCAGCCTGAATGAAAATTCATTTGATTCAGTGTGGTCCTGAAAAGATGGTGCTCCCTAGGAACTGGGAGACCTGGGAAATGGAAATCATAGAAGGTGCTAGAAATCTCAAGATTAAACAGCAACTGAGCATCTCAGTAACTAGATGGTGACCATGGATTCAGCATGAGTGGTGTTTGAATAGTACCACTTACCATTTGGCTTGGAGGAGAAGTCCATGCCCTTTGGAAAGGCATGGGGGTAATGTGGGGTGAGGTAGGGGTGTGTGTGTGTGTGTGATGTCCCAGGCTAGGTTTTGCTTGGAAGGGGCTCTTAGCAGCTCTGTTAGCTCCAAGCTAGTTAGATTCTCTAAGAGTTCTAAGATTATGTCTCCACAATTTAGAACACGCCAGCTTGCTTGTATGCAATCCCGTTGTCAGGGAACGGATAGCATCTGCCCTATCAAGGAAGGTGAGTATGAGATCTGGTTGAGGATTAGAAGGGAATAAAAGCATCCACTGTAGAGACCTGATAATACCTGCCAGCGGGGGACTTACCTGGGCCACGAGAAGAGGGGGCCCCAGAGGTGACCACCCACTTGTCTTCTTCAGCCTGAGCTGGCTCTGCTGGCAGGACTGAATCTGTGTTCTCTGTCACAGGCGACCGCAATGTCCGTGGACTGTCTGGGGCAGCATGCTGTGCTCTCCGGGTAAGTGAGCCCACACTGTTCCTCTGCCGCAATTTCTGGGAACAAATGGCAAATCGAGAGGTTTCTGGGAAGTTGGAAAATGCTCTTTATCTTTAAGGATTGTGGTCGTAGGGTTTAGTTCTGCTATCCTAGTGACCTCAGGGGTACTTAACAGGGCTTACTTGCAGTTTATTTTTGTCTCTGCCCTAACATGTAAGTGATAACATTCCCTTGAAATTTGAGTGTCTGAGAGTTTGGTCTTGGAATTGCAATTTTCTGTTTATTGCCCAGAAGGGAGTAAAAGCATCCACTGTAGAGATCTGATAATATCTGCCAGCCAGGGACTTACCTGGGCCACGGACCCTGCAGAAGGGCTCCATCTGGTATGGTCTCACAGGATCAAGTTCTAGTTTGGCAATGCCGTTAATTATGATGAGCCCCTGGACATTTATCCAGTTGGTCTCCTGGACTTTGGTTTTCTTGTGAAGAAATTTGATTTCATTATGAAGAAATAGAACTACATAATTTCTGTAGTGTTTTCCAGCCCAGTATTCCTAAGATTCTGGCAACTAAGGGCCATCCTAGCATTTGCTAATCACTCTGCCATTGTACCAGTATAATGCCATTTAATGGTCTGAGGCCTCCTCCCCTTTCTTACTCACCACATCTCTAAGTCTGCAGTGTTTTCATTACCTTACTTGTTTATGAACCCACTTCTAAATAATGACCTAGTTTCTGTTTCATTATTTTATTCTGAAATCGTATTTTATTTTTTTGAAATCATATTTTAATTTACCTTAGAAAAAGCATAGCAGGGGCGCCTGGGTGGCTCAGTCGGTTGGGCGCCCGACTTCGGCTCAGGTCATGATCTTGCGGTGCGTGGGTTCAAGCCCCACGTCAGGCTCTGTGCTGACAGCCAGCTCAGAGCCTGGAGCCTGTTTCAGATTCTGTGTCTCCTCTCTTTGACCCTCCCCTGCTCACGCCGTCTCTCTCAGAAATAAATAAAACATTAAAAAATTTTTTTTAATTAAAAAAAACCATAGCAAACATTTAAATAATTCAAAAGGCTTTACACTGGGAAGTAAGTTTCCCTCCTCTCGTTGACCCCATCCCCAGAGACAGTTATCAATACCATTTGCTTGTGTCACACTGGATACATAAATAAAGAAAAATTGGTATGTTTCTTTACTGCCCCCTCTGCAGTCACTTAAAAAAAAAAAGCTTTAGTGAGACATAATTCACAGACCATGCAATTTACCCATTTAAGGTATGCAAGCCAATGGTTTGGGAAATATATTACTCATTTCCTATACCATTTTTAAACCTTTTTCTTTTTTTTCAAATCAAGGAAATACCTATACCTAGTTGAAAAGGTCAAATAGCATTACAGGATTATATTGTCAGACAGCAGAATCCTACCTCACCTTTTCCCCACCCCGATCCCACTCATTAGAAGCAACTATTTGAGACTCTTTTAGCTGTTTCTCTGAGGTTGCCTCCATTTTTCCAAATAATACACGAATACTGTTATCTTGATTTGTCCAGATATTAAAAATTGACTTCTTAAAATAGATGAGGATTTAGCACTTTTACTTTGCTCTGTGAGTACCTTATTTCCCTCTCTTTCCAATATGGTTATATAACAATTGTTGGGTTGAATCAGTATTTGGGATTCCTAGAGTAATTTTGAGAGGTCCTATACCATTCTGATTCTGGACTTTGTATGTGGCCTATTTTTTCTGTTTGGAAGCTTTAAAATGCTGTCTTTGTTTCCAGTGTTCCTTTTATCTCCAACTGTGTGAAATTTTCACCGTGACTGCTTTGGTGTGTCTTTTTTTCATTCATTGTGCTGGACACTTAAAGGGGTCTCGTCTTTTTTTTCTTTTTTTTAGTATCATTATTTGTTTTATCTAAACAAATAGACATACACTTGGCATCATGTAGCTATTGTTAACAACCCACAAAATACTGAGCACCTGAGTAGCTTAGTTGGTTAAGCATCCAGCTTTGGCTCAGGTCATGATCTCACAGTTCATGGGTTTGAGCCCTGTATTGGGTTCTCTACTGAGAGCCTGCTTCAGATCCTTTGCCCTCTTCTCTCTCTGCCCTTCCCTGCTTGCACTTTCTCTCTCTCTCAAAAGTAAATAAACATTTAAAAAAAAAAACCCTCAAGTGCTAAGGAATAACTCTGTCTCAAATGTTAGACTTCTCTGCATTCACTGTTGTGGACATTATCATTTGTAGCATCTGAGGAGAGAATGGATTATGTCACTGGAAATCAACACCTGTTTTGGTGTGTTCTTAGGTACATACCTTTTTTATTTTTCAGCATGATCTTGAAGGTTCACCATTTTGTTTTCTTATACTGAACTTGAAAATATGTACAGGGAAGAATGTACTTGAGTGAACAGCTCTAGTAAATTTACCAATATATACACCCATGTGATTCCCATTCAGATTAAGACCCCGTGTAATTTTTAGCACTGTTGGAAGGCCCTTTCAATCTGGAAAGTCTGTGTCTTCCAGTTTGGAGAAGTTTTCCTGCGTTGTGTCTTTGGTAATTTCCTCCTATTTCCTTCCCTCATTCTTTCTGGAGCTATTCGTCCATGTTGCATATCCTATGTGGATTCTCTTTTGGTCCTTTTTGTTTTGTGTTCTGAGAGTTTCCTTCAGCTTTAACTTTCTACTCTTCTGTCAGATTTCTTTATGCCACCTGTGCTTTTCATTTCCAGGAGCTCCTTCCTGTTCTCCGTTCTTCACCTCATTTTCTTTTCCCTCTCTGACAATGTTAATTATAGGTTTCTTCTTTCCTCGGCACTACCCATTTCTTTTTTTGTCTTTTGATTGTGTTGGTCCCTGTCTTTCAGATTTCCTTTGTGACTGATACCTGGCTCTCGGTTAACTGTCGAAGAGTGATCAGTTTACATGTGTGACAGTGGGGTTCTTTGGAAGGAGGTCATGTGGGAACCAGGCCTTTTTTTGGAGGGTGCCCAGATGTCATTACCTCCTGGGTTCCGGGTTCCATGTTGTTACTTGATTGCTTTTGTCTTTTTCTTGGGCTGGTCATTTTCCCCTGAGAAGAATCCTTTTGTCACTGGTCATTGTGTGAAGACTACAGATCAGCCGTAGGGGAAGAGGCCTGAGGGTCTCACATTCCACTTCCTGCCCTGTTTTGAGCACAGCTCCTCATATTCCCACGCTAGCAGCCGTTTGTCCCAGGCCTGGGGCTCCTCTGAAGTAGTTTGTCTAAGGCCGGGGTGAAGGAGAGGTGGTCACCCGGCTCTGTGAGGTGCGCACAAACTGCTCTCCTTAGTCCCCTTTCAGACAGTTCCTGTTCTGTCCTGCCTTTGGTTTTGCAGGCCTCGCTCTCCCCCTGCTGCAGGCTGATGCCTCTGGCTCCTGAGGCGGCCTTGTCTATCATTCACATCCCTGCTGCAGGCCCTTGGGTGTTTGCTGTCTTTTGATCGAGTACCATTTGTCTGTTTGCTTTTCATTTCCTCTCTCATTTTCTTTGTCTTTGTGGGTTTCTGTGTTTTATATTTTTACTCTGACTTTTGTGGGTCTTCAGGGGAGAATAAAGATAAAACGTATGTTCAGTCAGGCATGTTTATCCTGAAGCACCCACTTTTTTCCTGCTGCTGTGCATTTGCTCTTTAATGTCCCTGAGCTCCCCTGTTCACGCATGCCCCCTGTTTACAGCTCTCAGCCTTTCCCTGTTTTTCATACTAAGAGGAAGATGCCAGCCTGCCTGCTGCAGAATCAAGTGATTCCTTCAGAGGAGGTCAGAGATTCTAGATCTTTGTTCTGTCCAGCAGTTCTGGAAATTCTGTGACTTTGTCTTACCTGTGCTTTCTTTCTTCTCCCCAGCCTTCTCTTCTAGGGTTTCTGCTAGATGTTTACATGCTGTGTTAACTTGCATTTCCCATCTCTTCTGAGCAGGGACTATTAATCTTTTTCTTCACCATTGAGCCCACCTGTTCTCCTTGATGCCTGGGGGCTTGGAGTGCTCTCGAACAACAGCTGATTAATGGCTGTCGAGATGTTGATTCACACACCAAGGATTTTTCACTTAAAACACAGGGAAAATAGGCAAACACGGGACATTCCTGTTTTCAGATCCTTTATATTGATTGGCACCTTGAACATCATTAGCCCTTAATACGTTATTTTCATGATCATTTTATTGGTTACTATTTCCCTCCCAATAGACTTAATTTAATTGCCTTTGCCAGGTAGTCAACTTGCAAGGGAATTTGAGATTTTCTCCAGGATTTTTGGCTACGTGATAAGTGATAGGTTTAACACACATTTACTGAATGCAAAGCATTGTGCCTGGTGAGGAAGGACATACAGACACTGAAGACATGTTCCGTGCTCCGCTCACTGGGTCCAGGACCAGAGCCTTACCATCGGTAGTTGTACTGTGGGGATCAGGGCTGCCTCCACAGTGCAAACTGCACAGGGGGAGTTGTGTGGGCACCAGAACTACCCCCAGCTGAGCGATTGGGAAAGGCCAGAGTGGAGTGGGCTTGGAGCTGAAGCTGGTGGGAAGATGTCAGACTCCCAAGGATCCAGTCGGGAAGCCCATCTCTGGAGACAGGCTCTCGCAGGGACGTGGCTCCTGCTTGGTGAACTGTCACCTTGAATTCCACCTGCCACTTGTATGCCTTTCAGAGTAGATAAATGTCATATAAATCTGGGGATATTTTGAGCACTGGCTGTAAACCATATGTAATTCCAAATGTGCTTTTCTGTCTTAATGCTAATGCTATTATATTGTCATAATGTTGATGTTGTTTTCCTAGCCGCCGATTCTTATACATCGTTAATCTAGATGCCCCTTTCGAAGGTCACCGAAAGATCTCTCGCCAGAGCAAGTGGGACATTGGAGCTGTGCAGTGGAATCCTCACGACAGCTTCGCACACTATTTTGCAGCTTCGGTGAGCCATTTAAGGAGTACAGGAAAAGGCTGTTAAAGTGTGAGCCGAGGCTGGTCGGTCTATGTTCTATGTAGAGAAGAGAACGTAACTCTCATTTCTCAGGCAGAAAAGACATGTGGATGGTTCTAAAAGGAAGATAGAGGCAAATTAAAGACACATATGTATACATGCACATATGGTGTGTATCTATATACGAACAGAGCTGCTGGTACCATCGGTGTCAGATCTTGTGTTTCTGAGGATCCAGATTTTGAAAGGGAAATGAGTAGATGCCTCCACTTCTGTGTGTTATAAGAACTGGTTTCCACTGACAGGAATGTAACTGGACAGTGACTCTGACCTTCACTGCTTTCAGAGGGATCAGAAGACTCCATACACCCTTTCACTTGAATGGAATCCTTCTGTTTTTAAAAGTTTATTTATTTATTTATTTTGAGAGAGAGATAGAGGGAGAACAAGTTGGGGAGGAGCAGAGAGAGAGGAAGAGAAACAGAATCCTAAGCAGGCTCCACACTATCATCACGGAGCCCGACACAGTGGCTTGTGAGATCATGACCTGAGCTGAAACCAAGAGTCAGGTGCTTAACTGACTGAGCCACCCAGGTGCCCCAGGAAGGGGTCCTTTCTTGACTGGGATTCATTAGATTGGCTAACCTCCTGATATTATATGTGTCTTTTTATATGTGATTTCTTCCAGGGAAAAGATGTATACATTTTATTGTTTTTTCAAGGGATTCATGACAGAAAGAAAGATCTAGGCTAGATCGTCTCTGATATCTCATCAGATTCTACACCAGCATTCTACTCTCCTAGAATTAGAGATCTAAACCTTTGGCTCCTTTGCACTGAGCTGGAAGAACAGTATTTAAAGAACACTTCTTATCATCCAGGGGATGCAAGCATTCACAGTGCTGTCTGGCTCCATTCTTATCAGAAATGACAGTCTGTGAGAGGGAAGCACCTGAGAAAAAGAAAGAAAAGCAACGTTGTCAGCTTTAGAAGGAACAAAAAACTGCTCTTTCCCGTCATTTCCAAAATAGAATCTGACTGTCTGGGGTGTCTGGGTGGCTCATTTGGTTGAGTGTCTGACTCTTGATTTCAGCTCAGGTCACTGTCTCACAGTTCATGGGTTCAAGCCCTGTGTCACGCTCTGACAGTGTGGAGCCTGCTTGGGATTCTCTCTCCCTCTCTCTACCCCTACCTTGATTGTGCTCTGTCTCTAAATGAGTAAATAAACAAACAAAGAATCTTTGTGACTCTCACCATGGACATCTGAGGTTGAACTGGTTTGGGGGGCTGTTCTGAAGGAGAAGTTAGGGCCAGTCTACTGCTTTCCCATTCCCGAACCCCTTTCCTGTGAGTTAGGAAAAAATGCTCTTTGTGTTGGCTTACACCTTAGGAGTTTTGTTCCTCTCTCATCCTCAGCCCCTGATTGTTTGGTCCAGGGGTCCTAGACCTGGGCTCCAGTGACCTCTCAGGCCAGATAATTCTTTGTAGCAAGATCTGTCCTGTGCACTGTAAGAGACAAAGCAGCATCCCTGGCTCCTACCTACCTAATCCCAGTAGCATCTTCGCCATTCCCATCACCATGACAACTGAAAATGTCTCTAGATGTTATTAAATGTCCCAGGGAAGCAAAATTGCCGCTGATTGGGAACTGATTTAGGCTAACCAGTCAGTAGTTGGCCTAAGTGGATTAACATTGCATTTGTTTACGAACGGTGAGATAGCCTTTTTTTTCCTTTGGACAGTCATTTTAAAGTAGACAGTTTAATGTTATTTACATTCACACGTTACACAGCCCCTGCCCTTCTCTAGTTTCCAAACATTTCCATCACTCCAGAGTAAAACTTTACTCTCTACCACGAAGCGGTTTCTCCCTATGCCCCTCCCCACAGCCCCTGACAGCCACCAGTCTGTGTTCTGTCTCTGTGGATTTATCTGTTCTGGATATTTCATATAAATGGAAACGTAGAATACGTGACCTTTTGTGTCTGCTGTAGCATGTATCTGTGCTTTACTCTTTTTTTTTTATGGCTGAATAATATTCCATTGTATGACTATACCATGTTTTGTTTAATCGTTCATTCTCTGATGGACGTTTGGGCTGGCTTTTGTCAGTAAGGTGGAAGTGGACAGGTGTGTAACTGTACTTTCTTCAGTACGTGTTTTCAGTTGTTTTGGGTATGTACTTTGGAGTGGAATTGCAGGGTAAGCCTGTGTTTAACTTTTTGAAAAACCATCAGACTTTTCTACAGTAGCTGAGTTGTTTTATAGTCCTACCAGCAGTGTTCCAGTTTATCCGCATTCTCACCAAAATCATTGTTTTCCTGTTTTTTTTTTATTTTTATTTTTAAAGTATAGCCATCCTAGTGGGAGAAAGTGGTATCGTACTGTGGTTTTGATTTGCATTTCCCTAATGACTAATGATGTTGAGCATCTTTTCATGTGCCTGTGGGCAATTTGTGTATCTTTTTTTGAGAGATATCTATGCAAATCCTTTGCTCATTTTGAAATTGGGTTTTATGTCTTTTTGCTGCTGAGTTGTCAGCGTTCTTTATATATTCTTGATACTAGACTCTTACCAGAGATATGATTTGCAAGTATGTCTCTAATTCTATTGATTGTCTTTCACTTTATTAATAATGTCCTTTGATATATAAAAGGCTTGATTTTGATAGAATTCAATTTATTGATTTTTTTTTCTTTTGTTGTTCTTGGTTGGAAGGCAGCCTTTCTTAGGAGAAAGAGCTTTGGAGTTAGGCATATGTGAGGTCAGGTCCTAGTTTTGATACTCACTATTTTATCTTTAGTACTCTCCTGACTTTCTGAGCCTCAGCTGCCTCACTTCTAACATGGGTGATGACCCGCTCTGTACAGCGTTGTGTGACAGAGCAGAGGGCAGGTTTCTTAAGATTCAAAGTACAGTAGGACTCCTGGGTGGCTCAGTTGGTTGAGTGTCCAACTGTTGATTTTGGTTTAGGTCATGGTCCCAGGGTTGTGGGATTGAGCCCCATGTTGGGCTCTGTGCTGAGTATGGAGCCTGCTTAAGCTTTCTCTCTCTCTCTCTCTCTCTCTCTCTCTCTCTCTCTCTCTCTCTCTCTCCGGGCACCTAGGGTGGCTCAGTTGGTTAAGCATCCGACTTCAGCTCAGGTCATAATCTTGTGGTCCGTGAGTTTGAGCGCCGTGTCAGGCTCTGTGCTGACAGCTCAGAGCCTGGAGCCTGCTTCAGATTCTCTGTCTCTCTCTCTCTGCCCCTCCCCTGCTCATGCTCGCTCGCTCTCTCTCTCTCTCAAAAATAAATAAAGATTAAAAAAATTTTTTAATGATTCTTTCTATCTCTCTCCCTCCCTCTCCCTCTGTCTGACCCTCTCCTCCACTTGTGCTTTGTCTCTCTCTTTAAAGTAAATAAAATTTAAAAAAATTTATAAAAACAGAAAGATTCCTAGGACGTAGACTGGTATTAGCAGACCCTCTAGCAATGACAGCAGATATTTTTATAAGATGGGGGGGACTTTTCTTTTTACTCCTGTTCCCATTGGAAGCTGTTTTGAATCCTAACCTTTGACTAGGAACCTATTTAGAATTGGAAACTGGCATTTCTGGATAAAAACCTCAGAACTTTCTACATCTGTCCATCTCTGAGCTAAAATGAAAATCAGTCTAGTAATATATAGATATTAATAGATTTGCATCTATATTATCAGTTCAGAAATTATTAGATAGCCTGTGTATCAGTAATCAGTCTGTTGCCATCTTTCTTTATTCACTTTTGGTATGTTTCATAAGCTCATGATATTTAGATATTCTGCTGGCTGCTTGTTTCAGTGAAATATAGCTTTTTCTTTCCTCCTTTCCCCATTGGAGTGTGTTTTTTCCTGGTCAGTCTTTCCTAGATCTTTATGCCTAACCCTTTAAGAAATTCAGTATAGGGATGCCTGGGTGGCTCAGTTGGTTAGGCATCTGACTTCAGCTTAGGTCATGATCTCATGGTTTGTGGGTTTGAACCCCAGGTTGGGCTCTGTGCTAACAGATCAGAACCTGGAGCCTGCTTCAGATTCTGTGTCTCTGTCTCTCTTTACCCATCTCCTGCTCGTGCTGTGTCTTTCTCTCAAAAATAATAGGGGTGCCTGGGTGGCTCAGTCTGTTAAGTGTCTGACTTCAGCTCAAGTCACGATCTCACGGTTCGTGGGTTTGAGCCCCGCATCGGGCTCTGTGCTGACAGCTAGCTCAGAGCCTGAAGCCTGTTTCAGATTCTCTATCTCCCTCTCTCTCTGACCCTCCCTTGCACAATGCTGTCTCTATATCTCTCTCAAAAATAAATAAAACATTAAAAAAAAGTTTTTAAAAATACTAAAAAAAAGAAAAGAAGAGAAATTCAGTATTAGGCGCACCTGAGTAGCTCAGTTGGTTAAGCGACCAACTTCATCTCAGGTCATGATCTCATGGTATGTGAGTTCAAGCCCCACATCAGGCTCTGGGCTGTCATCACAGAGCCTGCTTCAGATCCTCTGTCTCCCTTTCTCTCTGAATCTCTCTCTCTAAAAATAAACATTAAGAAAAAAAATAATAAATTCAGTATAGGCATATTTCAAGGAGTCTTGTATAATTTTGCTTTCTAGGATACCCCTTTGATAGTGGTTTTGTTTTCTTGTGTATATGTGTTTTTTAAAGTGTTATGGATGGACTCTGGGCTTTTGATAAGTAGAGAGGGTGAGCTGAAAGCATCTAGTGTGACAGCAGCTGGAGAGATGGGTGTGTGATGCTCAGAGTTGGGAGTGGTCCTAGCAGCCAGGGGTGGGGGGGCAATAGGGGAGGGGTGAGGGGTGCATCTCCATAAGCCATCACTCAGGTACTACTCAGGTAGTGCCTCTGTGGCTTCAGTTTAGCTGCAGCCACTCAGGGTAGATTCACTTTGAAGATAGCACTGCCCTGCAGTTTGGAAATTTGTAGTCCTATGTGCTGAGCTCAGATTGGCTCACATATTAATTGTACTCTTTTTTTTTTAATATATATATTTTTAAATGTTTTATTTATTTCTGGGAGAGAGAGAGAGAGAGAGACAGTGTGAGCAGGGGAGGGTCAGAGAGAGAGGGAGTCACAGACTGAAACAGGCTCCAGGCTCTGAGCTGGCAGTCAGCACAGAGCCCACCGCGGGGCTCGAACCCACGAACTGCGAGATCATGACCTAAGTGAAAGTCGGACGCTTAACCGACTAAGCCACCCAGGTGCCCCTTTTTTTTTTTTTTTTTTTTTTAATATTTTTAAATGTTTATTATTTTTGAGAGAGAAAGAGAGAGACAGAGCATGAGTGGGGGAGGGTCAGAGACGGAGGAAGACACAGAATCGGAAGGAGGCTCCAGGCTCTGAGCTGTCAGCACAGAACTCGATGTGGGGCTTGAACTTAAAACTGGGATCATGACCTGAGCTGATGTTGGATGCTTAACCGACTGAGCCACCCCAGGAGATCCTAATTGTACTCATTTCTGATGGCTTTGTGAGCAAGTCAGCCTGTAGGGTCTCTGCCATGCAGATTGGTTCCTGCATGGCTTCCTCTTCTCAGCCCTGGGCAGATGGGGGTGAGAGCATGTGTTCGGGTGTGGGACTGGCTGCCTTCTTCCCCTTGTTTCTTTTCAGAGTAACCAACGGGTCGACCTTTATAAGTGGAAAGATGGCAGTGGGGAAGTTGGCACAACCTTACAAGGCCACACTCGTGTAATCAGGTAGGCACCAGCCCTCCACAGCTCGTGGCCTGTCTCACTTTGTCATAGTCCCTTGGGAAGTGACATGAAGGCTCTGTCCTCCTTCCACAACTTGACCCTCTGTGCTACATTGGCCCCGGGTGACTGCTAGGCCCTCAGTGTTCACTGAAACGGTGGCTCTCACAGTAAGGATCAGCCAGTATTTAGGAACCAGCATTCATGTAACTGCTAACCTCAGTTCCAGAAGACACTCAGACAGCCTAGTCTGGAGTGAAGAATTAGAGCTGATTTTTGCCACGGGAGGGAGACGCAGTTATGCCAGCAGAATCCTCAGCTTATGTTCGCCAGTGCGCGGGAGCACAGACAGCAGGACGCAGCCCTATGCTTGGCTGTGGGGCACAGCTGCCTCCCGCCCATGGCCTTCTGGAGTGTTCCTTGATCCATCTTGTCCTTGGGTCACTATTTCTGGGCAGAGAACACTCATCCTAGGAAGTAGCAGCAGGGAGTGCAGGAGTGGGGGAGCTGACCCGGAAGTACTGGGAAAGGCCAGATGTCTGGCCTGTGTTAACTGCGCAGTAACTGCCTTTCTAGGAGGGAGGACGTGAGTAGGGAGGTCTTACCCTTCCTGAAAGCTGCGTGGCAACATGGTGGTTTGCCACTGCTTTGAGAGATGTTCGTTTTACTCGAGGTACCTGTGGTTGAATCTGGTTTAGAAAACTACAAGTTAAAAATTATGTAATGTTTTTGCCTTGGTGTGTGTGTGTGTGTGTGTGTGTGTGTGTGTGTGTGTGTGTGTGTGTGTGTGTTTGAAGTTGAAATCCTCCATTTTGGGAGGGAGGGGGGCAGGTGATTGTATAGCTGGTGATGACAGGGTAAAGGACCTACAAGTTTTCTTCAGAGCTCAGTTAAGTCTTGTTCATTCCCAAAGAAGTTTGGAGATTTCTAGCCTACATCATGTTAAGGAGGACCATTAATGGTGACTCTGAAGCCACTAGAAACGAAATCTGCTAGTGCTTTGGAACTGAACTCTGAATTTTTTTTCTCTTTGTTGTTCTGTTTATTTCTCATGTTCCCAGCGACTTGGACTGGGCAGTGTTTGAGCCAGATTTCCTGGTTACCAGCTCTGTGGACACGTACATCTACATTTGGGATATCAAGTAAGAACAATTAAAAGGCCAAACCGCTGGGTTGGGGGATGATCTGAGACCTTTGTTTTGGAGACCAGCTGTCTTAGTTTGGCTTCCCCTGGGCGTAGACCCCGAGATGAGCATGCGTTGGAAGACGCTGTTGAGGGGGTGACAGAGGTGCCGGTGGGAGGAGAGGTGGGGCTGGGAAGGCTGCAGACGGAGGGCACGCTGTCCCCCCGGGTGGCACCCTGAGCACATGGAGCTTATTCCTAGTGGGGACTGCTAGGTGCTAGTACAGAACTCTTCAGAGGTGTCCCACCCTCGAGGGCTCAGGAAGTGGGGGCGTCATCCCCTGTCAGTTGCTGGTGGCAGGCTGCGCCCGGGTCCTCCCTTCCCTGGCACTTCGGGCCTGTCACAGAGGTTTGCAAAGCAGGCTTCAGCAGCCAGGGAAATCCCTTGTGTAGAGGGACACAGGTGCTGGCATTTGAAAGTCAGGCTGAAGCTTAACTGAAGTGGCAGATGACAGTGGGGAGTTGTGATGGGCACAGACACGCATCTGCTGCAGCAGGCGGTGCTACGAGACACATCTGCTTTGCTCCTTGTGAGGCTTCAGTCCCCCGTGCGGCTGAGAGCCACCTCTCAGGGTTCCCCTTCAGGAGGTGAAGAGGGAAGGAGCCCCGAGCCTAGGGCCTGGCATGTCGTCTGTCCCCCTTCTCCCTTTGTAGAGTATGGCTCCCTCTGCCATAACAATTCAAGGTGACTAACCAGAGGGCATGGTGTGTAGAGTCCCCCGATGGGACCCCCTCTCCCGTCAGCGGACTGCTCCGCACCCAAATGGCAGTGGCTCGGTGGTGGTTGGCACCAAGAGGTGGACAGACCGGGGAAAGGGAGTCCGAGAGGGTGTGCGCAGTGGATTTCATATGCATCCCCTCAGGGAAGTGCCTCAGTGGCGTCAGTCTAACGGCAGCGCCCGAGTGGGGACAGAGCACAAAACCCGGGGGAAATGGGAGGGAGGCGCTTTTAAATAAAACCCCAGGGAGTTAGAGGCAAGGTTAGAGTATTCCTCATTTACATGAAATCATTGGTTTTATAATTTAAGGATTAAAAGATGCTGAACAGATGATTCCTTTTCAGAGTTTCTGGGTTAGTAAGCCCGAGCCACAGATTGGCCGTCCGGCCCCCCAGCCCTGGGTTGGCGCTGCGTTCTGTCACTTTACCATTTGGTGGAGAAATTGCCCTCCGGCTTTGTGGTGACCCCAGGAGTATCTCTCTCTCCAGGAGTCTCCCATTGTATCCAGGAGTAGGGTTTTCTTTTGTTTTTATTCTTAGTTGTGGTCGAAAAACTCAAAACATAAAATACACCATCTTCGCCATTTTTAAGTGTATGGTTCAGTTAAATATATTCACATTGTTGTGCATCATATCCCTAGAACTTTCTCCTCTCAGGCTAACACTCTCCTCATTAAGCACCTTCCCACTTTCTGTTTCTATGGTTTTGGCTACTTTAGATTCTTCTGACAAGTGGGAGAGGAGTCATGCAGTATTTGTCTTTTTGTGACTGACTTACTTGACTTAACATCATGTCCTCAAGGTTCATCCATGTTGTCACGTGTGACAGGATTTCCTTCTGTCAGAAGGCTGGCTAATAGTCCATTGTACGGCTGGACCACATTTTGTCGATCTACTCATCTGTCGGTGGACACCTCGGTTTCCACCTGTTAGCGACTGGGACTATTGCAGTAGCTTTTTGACTTCACCTTTGAAGTGCTACTGGGAAGGTTCTTGCTGAGTTATGCCTCCGTGACTGTCCCTTCATTGCCACTAGGAGAAATGACACCAGGAGGGGCTTCTTTCGGCTTCCTCCACCCCTACAATCAGGGTCACGCCAGCCGTGCTGAATCATAGAGTTTGTTTTCTGTGGCTGCAACTATGTGATTTGAAATTCAGACTCATCCTCAGTGGAAGTAGCTGAGAAAGTTTGTCCCCTAAGTGGAAGTAGCTGAGAAAGTTTGTCCCCTAAGGGAGACAGGCCTCCCTTTACACTTGTTTCTAAGGCCCTCACGTTCCCTCTGAGCTCCAGGTACCCACTGGAAGCAGAGTGGAGAAAGGTGTGCACAGGGTGAAAAGTACAGGTGGATGGTGGCCTATGAATTGGGCATTTGATTTCTGACTTTTCTATTTCAGGGACACAAGGAAGCCTACCGTTGCGCTGTCTGCTGTAGGTGAGTGGATACTTCCCCTGCTCCCATGGGGACTGTCCCCTGCCCCACACCTGGCTCCTGCTGGGCGGGATTATAAGTGCCTCATTGCAAGGGGCTTGCTTTAGGCTGCTCTCAGGACTGCTGAGTGTGCTCAGGAGCTTATTTAAGGGTTCAAGGATGGGAGCCGAAATAGTTTGTTTTCAAACTTTTTATTTATTAAAAAAATTTTTTTAATGTTTATTTTTGAGACAGAGATAGAGAAAGGGAAAGAGAGCATGAGTCAGGGAGGGGCAGAGAGAAGAGGAGACAGAATCTGAAACAGGCTCCAGGCGCTGAGCTGTCAGCACAGAGCCCAGTGCGGGGCTTGAACTCACGAGCGGTGAGATCATGACCTGAGCTGAAGTCAGACGCTTAACTGACTGAACCACCCAGGTGCCCCTAAACTTTTAACTTTTGTGGAAAATTTCAAATACCTATAAAAAATAGAAGAAGACAAACTGCCTTGTGTTCATGACCCAGCTTCCACAGTTGTGCCTGTCCAGCTAGTCTTATTTCATCTTTACCCTTGCCCACTGCCCTGCCCCCCACCCCCATCTCCTTTGGAATTATTTTGAAGTATGTCAGTGTCATATCATTTCCTCAACAAATATTTCAGTAAGTAATACTTCTACAAGAGGAGAATCCTCTATGGAAATGTAACCACAATACTACAAACGGACCTAAAAATGTTAATGGTGGCTCTTTAATATCAAATATTTAAGCAGTATTTGAATTTCCCCTAAGAGTCTCAGTTGTTGTTTTGTTTTTTTACAAATTAGTTAAATCAAAATCCAAATAGAGAACATACTTATAAATGGTTGATGGAATTCTCACCTTTTGTAATTGGTAGGTTTCTTCTCCCTCTCCTTTTTTGGTTTGTTTTTCTTCTCCTGAGGTTTATTTATTGAAGAAACCAGGTGGTTTGCCCTGCAGTTTCCCCAGAATCTAGATTATGCTGATTGGGTCCCCGTGTCATCATGTAATATGGGTACACTGAAACTTTGAAACTACTTTCTGGTCTACCTCTTCTCTTTGCTCCGTTGAAATAGACTGTTTCTAGAATTGTGTTTTGGGTCCATTGTGGGGTATTTCCACTAATTCCTCAGAGGAGAATTTGGGCACAGAACTGGTTTATCACAGCAATGAAGGTCAGTCATCAGTATTGTGTTTTAGTATACTTGTTAAAAACATTCATCATCTATCTCTTAAATCCTGCTCCTTTGTATCTTTTTGTTACATTTGAATTCATATGTGGTATTTGCTCCAAAATGATTTACATGATTTACATGATTCTTTTTTTCCCCGTATTTCCACGCCTCATCATTTAAAGAGGTTGAGCATCACAACTGTATTAAACAGGTGGATTATCTGTTCTGTGAAGTTAGGGACCACATATGTTTTGTTCAGTGCTGTAGCCCAAGGTCAGCATTTGTGCTGATCTGTTGATCAACCCCCACCTTACTAAACCCCCCCCCCCCCCAGCCTTTAGGCAGTTACGGTCTGAGGTATATGCTGACCCACAGACATGGTGGCAGAAGACATCCAACTGAATGAAAATACAAATGGTCTATAAATGCCTCAGTTGCTCTCCTGGGATTCTGTTGCTTCTACTTGGAGGTTTCTAAGTTAGATTGGTTTTAGAGGAGCTCCAAAAAGAAAGGTTTTTTTCAACGCATTCGTTCTGATTGCTTTCTTTTCTGTACTAAGCCCTCTAAAGAATAGAGGTAGGGAGACTTCTTTCTTTTTTGCACCTCAGTGAGATTTCTCAGTGGTAGCAAAGCTGCCTCGGGAGAAAAGAGGCAAATGAGAGGTTGTGGGTTTTCATGAGCTGCTTGATCTACCATCACTGAGAGGTTCAGCCTCGGCTAGTATTGCTTCCTGGGGGCCATGGTTCCTATCCCTCCATGAGCTCACTGTTTATATCTTCAGGGTAGGGAGTAAGCAAGAGCATGTGTGTATTCCAGAGTATTCTCTGTCTGAGAACACCTGTGGTCTGGGATCTGTTTGACTCTGTTGTCATGATCCTAGTAAAGCCGGTTGAATTAAGGGGTTCCCAGAACCCTGTGGAAGGCTTCATGGTCCGGTGGTCCCCTGCATTGGGGAAAGTAGATTTTTTTGGAAGTCTGAGTAATTCTGTCGTGAGGAAATGGGTCAGGCTCTTCTTACCTTCTCCTTTAGCTGATACCTGTTCTTGCTAAGAAGCCGTGTCTCTTAAGTAGTGTACCACCTTCCTCCTCTAGGGATCTCCACACTCATTCTTAGGTGATTTAAGATGCCCTGTGTCTCAGGCAAAAAACACAACAAACAAACAAATACTGTCCCCAAAACCAAGCAAAGGTAATTTTTGGACACTAACTCTGTTTCCTAACAGATTCTCAGTCCTCGCTCTGTCACTCTAGACCTTGAGGTTCAGTTTGCTTTCCAAAGCCCTGGATCCACTATGGCGTCCCCATTAATAAACGGCCCCCCAGAGGGAGAAATATTATGTGTTGTCTGAGTGAAGACTAGAAAAGATGGGAAGGAGAACTGTTGTGTTGTTCTGGTTTAGCTTAATTAACTTAGTTATTTTCTTTTTTAAAGTTTATTTATCTTGAGACAGAGAGTGAGAGAAAGCAGGGGAGGAGCAGAGAGAGGGAGAGACAGATTCCCAAGCAGGCTCTGTGCTATCAGCGAGTAGCCCGATGCAGGGCTTGAACTCATGAACTGTAGGATTATGACCTGAGCTGAGATCAAGAGTGGGGTGCTAAAGCAATGAGCCACCCAGGCACTCCAACTGGGTGATTTTTAAGAGTCCACTAGAAGTGCTGATAGGTCCTGGTTTTCCTCAGACCTCAGTCCCTCTGGCATCTTACGCTACACCTCCTCTCTTAAATAGTTCCCTTGTTATTGTTGTTACTTCTTTGTGTTGGTAGAGTGTGGAGAGGACCCAGTTCACAGTGCCAGCGACGTTCCCTTTCCCTGACCTAATGCAGGGCCAAGGGCCACGTGTAGCCGCTTTTGGGGGAAGAGAGCGCAGGAGGGGGTGGGTGCCCATACCCTTCAGAGGGCAGAATCGAGCAACACGGGGGCTTATTCTTCAGCCGAGGAAACCTTTGTTTCTCCAAGACTGCCTGGTTAATAGGTAAGGAGGTGAGGAAGTGAGTGGGAAGGAGCAGGCACCGAGCCGAGGCCTGTCTGGGTGGAAGCGCCAGGTTGTGTGACGAGTAGTCTGTCAGCAGCCACCAGAGCTGAGCTCAAGTGCTACCCATGAGAAACTGTCTCCCTGCTGCTTCTGCGCCGAGGTAACCTGTAGACTTTCTTCCTGAGTCAGTATTTCCTCAATTAGGTGCCTCTGATCGTGTTCCACTGTGTTAATTCATTTATTTTTTGGCTTCATTTTCTCTTTAATGGTGGAGGTGGTGCTGTCCTAGAAACTTGAAGGGTTCTGTTCTCAGTCGGCCGGAACTCATTACCCAGCTCCCCTGGACACGCTCCGCTCTGGTCCCAGAGGACTTGACGGCAGCAGCTTCCTTCCCCTGATTTTTCTTTCCAGCGGGTGCCTCACAGGTCAAGTGGAATAAAAAAAATGCTAATTGCCTCGCCACCAGTCATGATGGGGATGTGCGGATATGGGACAAGCGGGTGAGTAGTCTCTTCCCCCCCTCCGCCCCAGTTGGTCTTTAGTCCCTCACAGGAATGAAGAGGCTGTTGTGATAGCAGGACTTGTGTTGAGAGGCCAGGGTGCCCTGTGCAGTGTGGCAAATGGGCATTTTAAGATCACAGTACCAGATGACATTTGCTTCCTGATCAAATTGGCGTTGAAGGAAGATAGAGAAGATTATGATCAGTGGTTAAGAAAACAAACTGGACCACACCTAGGTGAGAGCCCCATTTTGCTGCCTCCTAGTTATGTCAGGTGAGCCACTGCACTACTCCAAGCCTCAGTTACCTTGTCTTCAAAACGAAGATAATCATAGGGAGTGGACCACGGAGGAGGTCGGGCCTAGGGACCAGACGCTGTTGTAGAATGGTCAGCAGGCTTCTTATCCCTGACCCAGATTGCGAAGTGCGAACTAGTTGTTCCTGGGACATATTCCATCCTGAGTATTTCTGGTATAAATCACTGTGGCGAGGTACAGAGCATGCTCAGATCCTACCTTAGACGTCTGGCTGTCCTGTCAGCCTCAGAAGAGCCTGCAGAGCACAGATTCTCCCTGCACAGCCCCGGTACCTGAGGGGCAGGGTCCCGGACAGCTGCCGCCATGGAGAGTCTGGGGAGTTCAGGTTGTTGGCATCAGAGAGAACAAGGACTTGGGGAAAGGCCCCCACATACTTACCTGCCGGATGATTGGGTAGTAATGGACAGAGCAGTCGACTTCTGTGAGATCTGGGCTGCCCTACTGCTGCCTGCTTTCTGGAACTGGAGGCTAGAGCTCCTCAGCCTCTGGGGAGCACCCACTTGTCGTTTTCCTGAGACCGTCAGCCTGGATGCTGACCGTCCAGTGTCAGCCTGGCCCCAGCAGCCTCATCCCTTCCCTCATGGCAGGGAGTTGGTCATGTAGTTGGGGAGAGGAGAAGGAGAGGAAGCTGAGACGCGGAGTCTGCTGCACTGGGTGCCAGCAAAGCCCTCTGCCTTAGGTGGCTCTCAGGGGAGAAGGTGACTTTATAAGTAGAGGTGGCCAGGTGCATCTTCTAGTTTTTGTCTCTGTCCCTTCATCCAGTCGGGTAATAGCCCGTTCGCCCCTCTCTTTATTTCTTAAATCGGTGACTGGTTTTATTCCTTTCATCATTAGCATGGCACTTAAACATAGTAAATGGCTTAAGTAAAATATTTGGTTAATTTGTAGGGCATATATACTTGCATTAGACTGTTTTCAGGCCTTAGGCAAAATAAACCATTTGGTATTTAGCCATAAACCCTGTCAGTACTTGTTTTCCAAACTGGTATTGGAAAACTAGTAGTGTTCTTTATCTGGCAGAAATCGACTGCCAAACTATTCATTTCTAGTCTTCCGACTGTTCCATTAACAGTCCTGACTTCCCTCGTCCATTTTATCTCCTCTGTTTAAAGGGTTTTAACCTTTTTTTTTCTATTAATACTTAAAAGTTTTGCTCAAATGGATTGTTACTTTACTACAAGTTACTGCATGTTCCTACTTCTCTGGCACTTTCCCATGTCAAAGCAGCCCTGATGGCTCCAGGCGTCAGAGCCTTCAAAAAGTACAGTAGTAGTGGTGATGTTGGATTTCATTCAAGCACCCAGATGACTCATAATAGTAACATTTGCTAACCGTTTATTATGGACAGGCATTGTTCTAAGAACTCTTTATCTAACTAGCCTTTAAAGGAAGTACTGTTTTTATCCCCATTCTACAGATAGGTAAACTGACGCATGGTATGTTGTCAAGATTTGAACTCAGGGAGGCTGGTTCTGGAGACCTCATAGACCAACACTAATTATAGAAGTGATAGATGCTCTTTGTAGAAAATGTAAAAGGGAAAATAATAACCATTTGTAGACCTATTACTCAGAGACAAATGCTAACATTTTGGTCTTTTTTTATGCTTTTTTTTTTTTTTTTAAATGTTTATTTATCCTAGAGAACAAGTGTGAGCAGGGGTAGGGGCAGAAAAGGGAGAGACAATCCAAAGCAGGCCCAACACTGTCAGTGTGGAGCCTGACGTGGGGCTCAATGCCATGAAACATGAGATCATGCCCTGAGCTGAAACCAAGAGTCAGACACTCAACCTACGGAGCCACCTAGGTGCTCCTTCTTATGCTTTTTCAAATATTGGTTAATCATGCCACGTACATAGTCATATATACTTTCTATTTTTTTAATGTTCATTTTTATTTTTGAGAGACGGAGCATGAGCTGGGGAGGGGCAGAGAGAAGGGGGACAGGGGATCCAAAGCAGGCTCTGCGCTGACAGCCGGTAGCCTGATGCGGGGCTCGGACTCATGGACTGTGAGATCATGACGTGAGCTGAAGTTGGATGCTCCGCTGACTGAGCCACCCAGGCGGCCCTGTACTTTTTTCATTTAATGTTACAACAGATGCATTTTCCCTGTGCTGTAATCCCTAAGTAGAACACTTAGTGGCTACATCGTATTGGATCAGACAGCTATACTATAATCGACTCTAAAATTTAATTATTCCCCACTTACTGTATGTGTTGTTTCTGGTTTTCTGGTAGTCCGAGAACACCAAGATGAATGTCTTTTGTTATCTAAAGCTTTTTGTGAAATGGGGTATTCTCTTAAAAAAGGAAAATTTTAAGTTGCTTGATAAAAATTGTCAGTTTTTTGCCAAAAGGTTGTGCTATTTTGTATAAATAGTAGCAGTGACAAATGCAGCCTCATCAGCATTGAGTGTTACTTACAAACATCTTCTAATTTGATAGCTTAGTAAAATCTTATTTTATTTTAATTTTTTAAAATGTTTTTTTTATTTTTGAGAGAGAGACAAAGCACAAGCAAGGGATGGGCAGAGAGAGAGAGAAAGAGAGAGAGAGAAAATATGAAGCAGGCCCCAGGCTCCAAGCTGTCAGCACAGAGCCCAACACGGGGCTCAGACCCATGAACTGGGAGATCATGACCTGAGCCAATGCCGGACCCTTAACTGACTAAGCCACCTAGGGCGCCCCATAAAATGTTATTTTAATGTGTATTTCTGAGGTTTCCTTCTGCCTTTGCTTGTTTTATATAACCTTATTAATCACGTATTGTTTCCTTTTGCAATGTGTGTTTGTTCTCTTTTGGGGTCTTGGTGCTCAATTACTTTAAGTTTGGTGGGTTTACCCCCAGGATTGTGGGGGGCAGGTCTGTTTACATGTCACAGCCCCTCTCCTTGAGTGATAGCAAGGAGGTGGGGTGGGGGGGGGCAGCTCTGCAGTCTGTCCTCCTCGGGGGAAGAGCACACACCGCCTTGTGTCCTTCATTAAAGCCACACAAGGGGCAGGAATGGAAAGAAGTCCGGCTCACAGGCATATGTGCCAAGCATGCTGGAGAGCTGGATAGGTCTTTTTTGTTGTTGTTGCATGTTTGTTTGTTTTAAGCAAAACAAAGTGGAGTTTCTTAGGGGTAGACAGAGGATCTGGTAGTACTGTTACGTGGTAGACACTCAACGAGTGATTTGTGAACTGACAACACTCAGTGCTGATCCTGTTGTAGAAACCCAGCACCGCTGTGGAGTACCTCGCAGCCCACCTCTCCAAAATCCATGGCCTGGACTGGCACCCAGACATCGAGCACATTCTTGCTACCTCTAGCCAAGACAACTCGGTCAAGGTGAGTGATCTGCTGGGACAGTTGGGGGAGTTGTGTTTGGGAGGCACCAGATTTTGTAACAGCACTTTCTTCGGAAGGAAGTCTATAGGAGGGTAGCACAGTGCGTGTGTTTTAGGGGTGCATGGGCACGTAAACCTGGTTATGTAGGCCATTAGGAATGATGGGGCGGCGTATCTCCATTGTGGCTCCTGGGATTTGTTCAGAGGGTTTTCTTCTTTCCCTTTGTGAAAGGGAGCCAGAGACTAAACCATTTAAAAAGGAAAAGCTTATTTGCAAAGAAGTTGTCATGAAGTCAGATTTCAGAAAAAACAAACAAACACAAAACAAAACAAAGAAACCCACCCCAGATATATAAGTGAAGGAGAAAAGCCCACAACATTGTTAAGGTTACCAGTTTACGATTAGTCTCCCTGGGGCGGAAAAATAGCAATTTTATCACAAGATGATCATGTCTGCAAAAGTTAGGACATGTTCAGTCATCGGCATTGCAGAAAGTCAGGGATAGTGTTGCTCTGCTAGAGATTTCTGTAACTTGCAGAAAGTGCTCGAGGGTTTATGTGTCTCCGGGACCCTCGTTTTTGTGGTTTATCTTGGGAGTGTGGCGTTTCGTGTTGTTTTTCCTCTCCTGACCGTGGGATGTGCTGTGTTTACAAGGATGCAGGGCACAGAGCCAGCCTCCTTCCACACGTCCTCCTTGAGCTCAGGTCCCTGTCTGGAAGGACAGGGATTTGACCATGGAAGTTTGCTCAGCAATTTTGTGATCCAGCATCATTAATTTAACACTCTGTTTACAAAGGCTCCCACACCACGTCTTCCTCCGGCGTGGTCAGCAAAACCAGGATCTGACACTAAGGCTTAAAAGGTTGACTTCGCCTGAGGCCTTGAGGCCCTTAGGATTGGAATTTACTTTTATGTGCCACAGAGGGATTTTTGTTGGTTTGCTTGCTTTGGATTTGGGTTTTTGTCACCTTGTCGCTCAAGTTCAGAGCCCAGAAACCATCCAGGTCACCCCCTCCTCTTTGCACAAGTTTGTCGCCATTCAGTGACATCTCTCCCACCTGTGAGGCTGGGATTCTGTAGGTATGAAAGCAAGTAACTGGCCAGTTTCCATGTGTGAGACTCAGTCCCTGGTCCTTTCTTGTAGGCTGAGCTTATGAAGTAAATGAGACTTTTTGACATGGTATTTGAGTTATTCCAGTATATCCTGGTGGAAGGAAAGCAGTTTTTAGTGAATGTATATAAATAGCATAATTATAAAAAGTAAAGCAGTTTAGAGACACTTTTCATAATATTCAACTATTGTTTTTAGTAATTTATAGGTAAGGGTCAGTGTGTCATTTTTTCCTACGTAATCATTTTTAAGTTTACCTGATAATATGTTAGCTTGTAACTTGTAGTAGTAATTTTTATAATACTTTTATTTTCTGAATTCTAAGAGGTGCACTGGAACAAGATGCCATTGAATGAATGTTTCGCCTGAGTTAGGATATTGTTAAGCTATAAAACGGTTGAATTGAAGCTTAGAACTAGATCGAAAAGAAAGAAAAGGATTTTTCTTATATGGCTATTAAAATTAGAGTGGTAAAAAAAGTAAAAATAGAACATTATCCACAATGAAATGACTTCATACCAGTTTAGATGATTGCTTTTTCCTGAACTTGGGTTAAGCAGTCTGTTTTACGACAGTGCTTTCTTTAGACACAGTGTCCTGGAAATCCAGACACGGTTCCTTGGTACATCCTGACAGACAGATGTATGTCTGCCGACGGGTCAAGGTCATCCTTACTGAGAGTCTTGTACCCGTGAAGCTGTTCAAGAATGTGGTTCTTTCTTGCCTAAGGCTCTTCTGATATTTCTTCAGAAGCCTTCCTTTCTGATCTGTAGCTTGTAGCAACCTTTGGCACGTAAGAGAAAAGCAGAAATCACCTATGGAGGGGAGGATGGCCTGGCTCTGGTTCCTGTAGTGACCAGTCTGTCGGGTTGAAACAGGCTGCAGTCCTTCGCTCACATGCAATATGTCATCATCCCATACGGACTGTCAGTGGTTGCCTTGTGAATAAGATCATTTTCTAAAGTGAGTGAGGACTTGGTCAAATCCCCAGGGTCCTCTACCTTGTCCCCTAAGTTATATGTTATAGTTGTCCCCAACTGAGCATATTTAAATCTAGAAACAGATCCTTTTTTTTTTTTTAAAAGGATTACCTTTGTTAACAGTTAGCATGACAGTCTGTAAATGAACACAAATGTGCTGCTGTCCAACACGAAAAGTAACCAGTTGCCAAAACATATTCGTAGTACTAATATCTTGTATGTAATTAGTTTAGGGAGATTGGATTTTTTTATTTGCTAGTTTTTCACATATGGGAGACTTGATAACAGGAAAGCACTCATAAAGTGTTGAGCTGATTAAAAATCTGGAGAATGCCAAGCAGACCTAATGATGTCTAGTTTCCCTTCTTTTACAAGTTGAGGGAGCAAGTTAGTTTTCCCTGTGGCCATCTGGGAAACCCAGAAGTAGTTTAGATGGAAGAGACATCTTAACAATTTTATTATTTTGAATATGGAGCCTGAATTTGACAAAAAAAGTTGTCAGAAGAAACAAGAATTGCCTCATGTGATCCCTTTATAGCTGCACTCTTTTCCAACCCCTGACTTCTAGCAACTGCTAATGTGTTCTTCATCACTGTAGTTTTGTCTTTTTGAGAATGTCATTTAAATGAAATCATTCAGTATCTTATGTTTTGAGGTGGTTTCTTTTGCCCAGCATAGCACCTTCAGGATTCATCCAAGTTATTTTAAAAGTCGATAGATCGTATACTTTTAATTGATGAGCAGTAATCCACTGTATGGATATACTACAGCTTAATGTCTGTTGAACCATAGAAGGACATTCATTGGGCTCTTTCCAGCTTTTGGTCATTATGAATAGAGCTGCAGTAAACATTCATGTATTGATTTTTCTGGGAATGAACATTTTCCGTTTTTCAGGACAAATAACATAGGAATCGAGATTTCTGGGTCAGTGGTATATGCGCATTGACTTTTTAAGGAACTGCCAAATGTCTTCCAGAGTTGCTTCTTTCATCTATTTTTTAAAATGTTTTATTTATTTTTGAGAGAGAGAGAGTAGGGGAGGTGCAGAGAAGGAGGGGGTCATCTATTTTTTAAAATAATTTCTTAGTGGGGCACCTGGGTGGCTCATCGGTTAAGTGACTGACTTCAGCTCAGGTCATGATCTCACTGTTTGTGAGTTTGAGTCCCGTGTCAGGATCTGTGCTGACAGCTCAGAGCCTGGACCCTGCTTCAGATTCTTTGTCTCCCTCTCTCTGTGCCCCTTCTCCACTTACCTTCTGCCTCTTTCTCTCAAAAATAAATAAACATTAAAAAAAATTTTTTTTAAAGAAAATAGGTTCTTAGGACTTGAATAATTCAGAGTCTCCCTCTGGGTCCTTCTGCCTTTTGCACTCTGCCATTTCCTGCTTTCATGACAAATGCTCAAGCTAAGTGTAGTTGTCCTGTCATGGAAAGCACAGATGGCTCAGGCACAGTGTGTCCAGCTCACCTTCATGTGTCCCGCGGCCTCAAGTTGCGCACTTTCAGTGGCGGCGGAGCGGGTGAGGGTGTAGGTGAGTGCGTTGGTGCCCAAACAGCCACCTCTTTCCTGTGTGACCTTGCGCAAGTTAGACTGTTTAGTAATTTAGCTTCCACATTTGAAAAAGATGAATAACACCTGTTATTTGGTTGTAAAGATTAAATGGGATACAGAACTGAAAGCTCTGAACTCCGGAATGCGGTGAGTAGTCAGTACATCAGCTCTGGTTTGTAGTTACCTTCCCTTACACTGTGTAAACACGATGCGAGGTGAAAACATGTCACTCTTACCTTTCACTTATAAAGCTGTTTAGTAGGCAGGCGGATGGTGATCTGCCCCCCGGGGGCTGGTTCACGTGGAGTCCGGAGATCCTCCGGGAATGTTTATAAATGGGAGGGGGTGCGTTGTGTCTCTGCCACTGTCCCGGGGCCAGGGGGCTGCCTGGAACATGCTGAGGACAAAGAGAGAGGCTGTGCGTATTTCAGTTTTGAGTTTTTTAATGGCATTTGGTTCACAGATTATCCTGCTTTCTTTCTTCCAGTTCTGGGATTACCGCCAGCCTCGGAAATACCTCAGTATTCTCCCTTGCCAGGTGCCTGTCTGGAAGGCCAGGTACACGGTGAGTGACACCCCACGTCCTGCTGGAGACCTTCATTTTGGTGTTCCAGAGGTGCGGCAGAGTGGGGCGGGGGCCACGAGGGCCATTTTCTTTTATTTTCTTTGTGAGGCAGTTTTTGCTTTCTCTCTTCGTTGAGGGGTGGGGGCAAAGGCAGTAATGATGGCATAAAAGCTATCGTGTATTTAAGAACTTGGGCTTAGAATGTTGGGGAAAAGTCTGTTGCTGACCATGACCTTGGAAGCTGTGTAGCACAGAGGTGGTCACTAAGGGCAGGGGGAGGGGGAAGAGGGAGCCAGAGGATTGAAGGGCTTTCAGTCAGTGGATTGTGTTGGGGAGAATTCTGGCTTTAGATTCTGGAGACCTGGGTTTGGGATCCAGCGATGCCATTTAATTTTCCCCCAAGATATATTGAGCTACAATTGACATATTGTCTAAGTTTAAGGTGTTTGATATATTTATATATTGCAAAACTATTAGTACTATAGCATTAGCTAAGACTTCTGTCACATCACATAATTAGCACTTCTTTTTTGTATTGAGAACATGTAATGTTACTCTCTTAGCAAGTGTCAAGAGTATAATATGGTATTAACTTTGTCACCATGCTGTGTATTAGTTCCCCAGAACTTACTCATCTTCTAACTGGAAGTTTGACCAACATCTCCCCATTTCCCCCACCCATCAGCCCTTGGTAATCACCATCTTACTCTGTTTCTGTGACTTCAGCCTTTTTAGATTCCACATATAACTGAGATCACACAGTATTTGTCTTTCTCAGACTTATTTCACTTAGCATAGTGCCCTCAAGTCCACCCATGTTGTGACAAATGGCAGGATTTCCTTCTTTCTCCTGGCTGAATAGAATTCCATAGACTATATCTAACACATCTTTATCTTTTCATCCACTGTTGGACACTTAGGATGTTTCCATATCTGGGCTATTGTGAATAACGTCGCAATGAGCCATTTCCTATTTGCGTGGCCTTGGGCAGGCTGCTGGGTGCTTTTGAATCTGTAGAATGTGAATAATAATTTTTATGAGGCCTTCCTTTTTATTATTGTGATAAAATTTACCATTTTAAGATGTGCAATTCAGTGGCATTTAGCACATGCATAATATGCCTTTCCTTATGGAAAAATTGTATGTGAAAATGCTTTATAAACCATCAAAGGCTACAGACATGGGGGTAGGCTGTTATCAGCCTCCCCACAATTTTTTCCATTGCCACATTGATAGCTGCTGATCAGTGATAATATATTTTCCTTAGTGTCAACTCGAAAGGGAGCACAGGAATGAATAAGGCTGCCTTTCTGCATTAGGCTGTCACCCCAAGGCTCTGTGGAACATAGAAGATAATTTAGGTATTAAGTGGCTTTTGCATCTAGGAACTCTTGTCAAGAAATCAGACACTGTTCTGGGGCACCTGGGTGACTTAGTTGGTTAAGCGTATGACTTTTCGCTCAGGTCATGATCTTGCGGTTCGTGGGTTCGAGCCCCGCGTCGGGCTTTGTGCTGACTGCCAGCTCGGAGCCTGGAGCCTGTTTCAGTCTGTGACTCCCTCTCTCTCTGACCCTCCCAAGCTCACGTTGTCTCTCTCTCTCTCTCCTAGAAATAATAAAAAAAAAAAAACACATTAAAAAAAAAAAAAAGAAATCAGACACTGTTCTTATGAGTTGAAATACTTCTCTGGATTAATACGTTTACTTTAAAAAGTAAACAGACCCTAGATGCTGGCGAGGATGTGGAGAAACGGGCACCCTCCTACACTGTTGGTGGGAATGTAAACTGGTACAGCCCCTCTGGAAAACAGTGTGGAGGTTCCTCAGGAAACTAACAATAGAACTCCCTTATGACCCAGCAATAGCACTGCTAGGAATTTACCCAAGGGATACAGAAATGCTGAGGCATAGGAGCACATGTACCCCAATGTTCATAGCAGCACTCTCCACAATAGCCAAAACATGGAAAGAGCCTAAGTGTCCATCAACAGATGAATGGATCAAGAAGATGTGGTTTATCTATACCATGGAATACTACATGGCAATGAGAAACAATGAAATCTGGCCATGTGTAGCAACATGGATGGACCTTGAGGGTGTTATGCTGAGCGAAATAAGTCAGGCAGAGAAGGACAAATATCGTATGTTTGCACGTATAGGAGGATTAGGAGGAACTTGACGGAGGAACAAGGGGGAGAAGAAGGGCGGAAATGGTGGGGGAAAGGGAGAGAGGCAAACCATGAGAGACTCTTGAATGCTGACAAAAACTGAGGACTGATGGATGTGGGGGGGAGGGGGGGATGGGCATGGAGGAGGGCACTTTGGGGATGAGCACTGAGTGTTATGTAGAAACTAATTTGACAATAAACTATTTGTAAAAAAAAAAAATAAATAAAATTAAAAAACAGATGATAGTACCAAACTTAAAAAAAAAAAAAAAAAAAAGTAAACAGAGAAGTCCAGGAGTGCTGCCCGGAGGGCAAGTGAAGATAAATGTGCTTTTAGGTGACTATGGTTTATTCCTTAAAGAAGAGAGGCTGATTATCTACCACACGGGCCACTCAGCTCCCTACCAGATTAGGTGTTGATGAGTAAAACATGTCAGTCCTGAAACTGGATGGTTTTCCTCCAAAGAGCTGCAGTATTGGGGCCAGTGAGGCGCTGTCCCATGTGGACGTGTGCTCACATGGCAAGAATTCTGCTTGCTGCTCTGGAGTTCACCCCAGTGTGTCTTGTACACTTGATCAGGGGAAGCACTGGATACGAAACAGTGTGTACTAGTGTGCAGCAGTCAGAACCACTTGCTTATTTTAGAATGTAAAGTTCTCCCAGTATTTGGCTTATTTTTATTTTTTACTGGCTGTGGTCCTTCCCGCGCAAAGAAAGTAAAATAAATGTGAAAGAAAAGTAGGTGTGATGGTTAACTTAAGGTATTTGGGAAGAAATTTCCCCAGATGAGTTGGGAGCCCCCCATCAGGTACTTTATTTTAGTTAGGAAAACATTCCAACTTTGGCAATTCAAGATTCAGGCGAGTCTCCCTGGAATAATCACCTGCTTTTCCCTTTCCTGCCGTAGCCTTTCAGCAATGGGTTGGTGACTGTGATGGTTCCCCAGCTGCGGAGGGAAAACAGTCTTCTCTTGTGGAACGTCTTTGACTTGAACACCCCAGTGCACACCTTTGTGGGTCACGATGACGTAGTGCTGGAGTTCCAGTGGAGAAAACAGAAGGAGGGTGAGTGGGAGCCTCATTTCCTCCTGAGCCGTGTCCCATAGCATCTCTGGCCAGGGTTGGCCGTGTGGCCCAGCGTGGAGGATGCTGACACCTTGGGGCTGGGCTTTAGGAACGAGAGAGTCAGGCGGACTGCCACCTTTCATGGTAGATGGGTAAAGGGGTGTACGGCCGTGGTTTCCACTTCTCTTCCCTTCGGTGTCCTCTCTCACCTGTGTGGAAGAGGTTTGGAAGAGATTGATAGGCCTCCTGTTGGATCATCTCTAGGGCTGAAAAACTCCAGGGTCCTCAGAAGTCTGGCATTGGCCTGTTGAGGAAGGAGACTGAGGCCATCATCATTACTGCCCTCCACAAAACCCTAGTTCTCATCACAGCACACAGTGGTGTTTTGTCTCCCACCTCCCTGAAGACAGGTTTGGCCAAATGTCTTGCTTGGGTCGTGAAACATGAACAGAGAGATGCGATCTCTTCTAGGTTGAAGCATTAACAGCCACTGTGCAATTACACGCTCTCTGTGTTTCTGCCACGGCAGCTGGCACAACTCCAGCTGGACCTGTGCCGTTGGGAGCACTGACGGGGTGGGGGTGTAGGGGGAACAGGATGTCCTTGCTTTAGGCCACTGAGCTGTGTAGATGGTTGTTGCAGCTCCATCTAGCCAGCCCTCACTAATGCAAGGTCAAGTGTGAGGGGAGTCAGAAGCCTCCACTTCTCCACCAGCTCACCGTGCAAAGGCAGTGGCAGCCTCTCTTTTCTTGAGATCTTAGTGTCCTGATCTCTAAAGGTTTTATGGAACAGAAGTAGGTTTCTTGGTCTTTCCACATGGAAAAGCAGGCAGTGGAGTGGTGTGACCTGTCCGTAGTCCCAGGAAGGGTCTCTGGCTAGACCTGGGAGTAGGGCAGTTCTCTTAATCCCGGCTTGTGACTTCACAGCATCTTCCAGGAGAGGCTGATCTGGATGATCTTTTGATCATCCACTTAGTTTTCCCGTCTTTATTTCTCAAATCTCCCTGCTTCTAGAAACATGAGGCTGGTTGGTTTTTATCCCATTAATTTGCATGTGTGACTTTGGCTCTCAACTTCCTCTCTTGCATTTTGCCATCATAAATAGAAGATGTAGTTTCCTCATGGTCTGGCAGGGAGAGGTTGGTTTGTAGTTTTGGATTGAAATTCAGTTTTTAGACACCCATTTTTAGCTATCTGTAAGCCGGCAGGGTGAATTGTGTAAATTGGGACCGTCTAGTTGGTAACAAGATTTTGAGTACAAGTTACAGATGTTGTTTTTCAAATTCCTTTTTATTCTAAAGTATATCATCTGTCTAGAAAATTGCATAAAACATGTACATTCTAACAAATTATGAAGTGAAAATGTCTGTAACTACCAGCAAGGTCTAGAAAGAGAACATTGCTAGAACCCCAGGAGCTTCTTGATCACAGCCCCTCGCTTCCCCAGAAGGATATGCTGTCCTAACACTTGTGAGAGTGATTATTTTTAGAGGTTTGCCACCCATTAGTGCATCCCTTGAAATAGTTTCAGTTTGCTTGTTGAACCTTTTATAAATGTAATTATCCTGTGTGTAGTCTTGTGTTTTACTTCTTTTTCAACCTAATGCTGCTCCATTTTATTTTTACTGCTGTGTCTTCCTATTCATTTTTTCCCAGTTTGATTGTGGTTTTTAGTGCGGTGCAGAAGCTCTTACAGAGGTAGGAGGAGAAGCAGGATGTTGTGGCCGGGGGACGAGGATGCTTCATGAAGGAAGCGGCAGTCACTGGTTTTAGGTGTTGCTGAAGGATCGACGTGCAGAATAAGAGAAAAGCACTTAGTGGTACAGATAGGAGCTATATGATCATTAAGAGAGGAGTCCCAAAAGCGGATTGAGGATAGAAGCCAGACCACCAGGCAGCATGAACAGAGGCAGCAGGAACTGGATTCGTGAATGAAGTTGCCTTCAAAGGCAAGGAGCAGACTGAGTTGATGTTAGAGCTGCCACCCTCTCTGTCTGAGGGCAAGGAGAAAGTGCAAGAACGGGAGGGCGTGGGAAAGCCAGGGCCCTGTGGGGGTAGGAGGGAATGGGGGAGGAGTTGTGTTTAGAATGGAATCAGGTATAACTTTCCTTCATCAGGGACATGAAAAGAAGTTCGATGTGGAGACAGACCGTGGCTGACATGAACAGGAGTGTGTACAGGGGGCCTCCTGGCAGGCAGTCATTCAGAAGAACTGTGTCCTGTGAGGCACACGCGGAGATATGCTAACACGTTGAGGAACGAAGGCCTGATTGAAGGCAGTGACCCAGAGAAGGAATTTTTGCCCTTCACCCACCCTTTTAGCTTGGACAGAGCATGTTCTCTGGTGCCTCCATTTTCCCATCTGCAAAATGAGGGAATTGGATGAAATAAAAATTCTAAACTCTTCTAAATTCTCTGCTCTCTAAGGACTGCTCTCTAATTACTCCGAAATGCCCTGATCTTTCATAAAGCTCCCCAAACCTTTTTAGAATAATTTCCCTTTGACCAGACCTAATATGTGAAAATATTATCCATTTTATGAAGAGATGCATAACTTTGCCAAAAAATTCTTTTCAAACAGTAAGGTGTCGTTATGCATTTAAAGCAATTCATTTCACAAAAATATTCACTCTCAGCTCCTCTGGAGTGTATAAAAGGAGGAACATTTGTGAAGGCGAAAGTTCAGTGTGACGTTAAATCCCAGCATCCCTTTTCACCTGCTCACCTGCCATTTATTATTTCACTTCATTTAAGTTTCTGCTCAAGTGCGACTTCCTCAGGGAGCTCTGTCTAAAAATAGCTCCGCCGGCAGTTGTCTTACCCTTTTTTTTTTAAGAGCACAATCACTGCCAGACATTTTATCACATATTTATCTGTTTGTCTATTGCCAGCACTGGACTGTGACATCTGTAAAGATAGAGATTGCTGTATGCATGCTATTGCCCTAGTATCTAGAACTGGTGCCTGGTGTATAGGCGCTGGTCAGTAAGTATTTATTGAATGGATGGGTGGCTGACTGAAGGAAGGAGTCTCACTCCATTGCAACTTGTAGCAAAATTGATATTGAATCCCCACCTCCACCTCCACTCCCCCAAAATTCCAGGATTCTTATTTGGTGATTTCTAGGGTCCAAGGACTACCAGCTGGTCACGTGGTCACGGGATCAGACCTTGAGAATGTGGCGGGTGGATTCCCAGATGCAGAGGGTATGTATTCAGTGCTGTTGTGGAAGAATGTAAGTGGGTACACTAGAAACCTTAAAAAAAAAAACCAAGAGTTCGTACTTGTGGAAGTTAGAGGTACATGATGGACATTTAAGAATGCTTGCTGGCTGGCCACGTGGCTCTCAGAGGCCCCACTGAGGCTTTGAGGTCTCCGGGAGCCAGCTTCAGTATGTGGTGCTTCTAAGCGTGAAAAGTCTCCAACTGCCTTTTCTCTTGTCCCAGTTTGAGAGTGTAGATAGCCTACTGAACAAATTGCCTGTGGGCTTAATTTCTTTCTCTTCTTCTAAATGAGCTAGAAAGTCTAACCTTACTTCTACTCCGCAGTGTTCTGAGCCCTTTAGATCCGTCAGCGGCACCTGTTCTGTGAAGCCTTTTTCAGTGTTTGCCCCATAAGTTCTGTTTCTTACATGAACCACAGAGGTACCTGATGTGACTGCTACCGTGGCCTCTTGCTGTGTTCCACCTCAACGTGGTTCTTTCGTTCATTGTCCACACTCCTTAAAGGCAGGAGCCACGCCTCCCTTGTATTGCCTCCCCCACAGGACTCCATGTAGGATGGATAGAAGGTGCTGGGTAAAGTTTACGACTCTGTGGAGTGCCTGTCTGGCTCTGTCTGTAGAGCATATGACTCTTTTTGGTTTTTTGTTTTTTGTGTGTGGGTTTCGTGTTTGATTTTTTTGGTTTTTGTTTTTTTTTGGTGCCGAAACCTGGCAATGAGAACATACAACTCAGGGTTGTGAGTTTAAGCCCCATGTTGGATGTAGACATTACTTAAAAACAAACAAGTAAATAAAATTTTTGAAAATGTGCAACATTGCTTAGTATGAAGTCACTCTTGAGCATTTTGGTCAAGTATCATCACCTTACAGTCTTTCAAATACGTTTTCTCCAGAATGAACCATCTATTCATTTTTTGGCCTTGGGTTAGCTGAATAACTCCACAAAGGCTTGGAATTTAAAATAATGTTTTCTGAGGCTTGCATAAACTACGAACAGGATGAAACATTTCCAGGTAGATAATAGAGTCTGTTCCCCTATGCATTTAACGAGGGGGAGATGCTGGTGGGTAAAACCTATTTTGATTGTATCAGTTTTGGGCTGACATCTTTTAAACTTCGTGATTCCCATTTTTAAGTCAGAACCAGACACGATGATCATTTCCACTGATTCCAGAGACCTAGATCTTTTACCTTTCATTGCAGCTTTGTGCAAATGACATATTAGATGGTGTTGACGAGTTCATTGAGAGCATTTCTCTTCTGCCGGAACCAGAGAAGACCCTTCACACTCAGGATGCGGATCACCAGCACAACTCAGGCCATGGGGAGGAGGAAGGTAACTGGTCAAACTGATGTTTTCGGTGAGGTGCCCCTCTGTGCAGTTCAGTTCTGGCGGATACCCCAGAACTGCTGTCTGACTTATTTTCAAAAAAGTGTTTTCCAGCAACTGGAGACCCTCTCTCTCCCGCTAGTCTTAAAGGAAGACCCCCTGAGCAGTATCCTGGAGGAGAAGAAGTCAGATCAGCTGGGACTGCCTCAGACTCTGCAGCAGGAGTTCTCCCTGATCAATGTGCAGATCCGGAATGTCAACGTGGAGGTAACTGTAGTCTAATGAATGGGCTCATGCTTGTGGATGGCAGTTTGTGGGAACGGGGACGGTGGCTACAGATGGCTCTGCTGCTCTAACAGGCGAGCCTCTCTGCTTGCTGCTTTATTTTCTAGATTCTCCAAGGAAATAGTGTCTTACAATGTCAATTACATTCTTACCGTATTATTTTCTCATAAGCTGAACCAAGGAATAAACTGATGTTCACGTGTCCTGAAATCCTCTTAGATGCTCCAACACCTTATTTAACCATGTGTGAAGATACTTAGGTCCAGGAGGGCTCAGTGAGGTAGCCAAGGCTCCAGGTGTAGGTAGTGCCAGAGCTGAGTTTGGAGCTGCACCTCCTGCCTCCCCGAGGTTCTTTGTGCTCTGCTTTACTACCTTCCCTTAAAGCTTGTCATTTCTTTCATGACTTCAATTCCCAGTGAGATCTTCACACCTCTTTGTCCATTTAACACAGAAAGATTTACTCTTTTCATTCTGGGTGAGTATTGAAATGCTTTCCTTCAGAGAATTGTCTGTGAGGGAGGTGTGTTTTTAATTATTTTGAGAGAGAGAGAGCACGTGAGCATACAGGAGTGGGGGAGGGGCAGAGAGAGAGGGAGAAAATCTCAAGTGGGGTCTGCGATGTGAGCATAGCCCAGTACAGGGCTCAACCTCATGAATTGTGAGATCATGACCTGAACCAAAATCAAGAGTTGGGCATGTAACCAGCTGAGCCATCCAGGTGCCCCTGCAAAGGAGTTTTGAAGCCTCATTTGTTTCTCTTTTGCCCAGATTCAGCAAACCGTAGGCATGAATATGTCTGTGTGTGTACATACTTATCTTCTTTGGCTTTTAAAACCAACTCTGCAGGGGGCGCCTGGGTGGCTCAGTTGGTTAAGCGTCCAACTTCAGCTCAGGTCATGATCTCCTGGCACACGAGTTGGACCTCTGCGTCAGGCTCTGTGCTGACAGCGTAGAGCTGGGGGTGTTTCCCTCTCTCTGCCTCTTCCCCGCCTGTGCTCTGTCTCTCTCTCTCTGAAAAATAAATAAACATGAAAAAATTTTAAAAAACAAATAAACAACAACTGCAGCGGCACCTGGTGGCTCAGTCAGTTAAGCGTCTGACTTCGGTTCAGGTCATGATCTCATGGTTTGTGAGTGTGAGCCCCGCACCGGGCTCTCTCGTATCAGCATGGAGCCCACTTAGGGCCCTCTGTTTCCCCCTCTCTCTGCCCTGCCCCCTCGTGCTCCCTCTCTCTCTCTCTCAAAAATAAATAAACAAAATAAATAAAACAGCTCTGCAACACGTGCTTTTACTGCCACTTAAGAGAAGAGGAAATACACCAAGAGATGTTATGACTTGTCCGAAGTCAGCAGCTATTTGGTGGAAGAGAGAGTATTTGGTATCTGTCCCCATGTTTCCCACATGTGTGCCTGTTTTCGCCTACCCCAGCTGCCTTCCCTGGTTGGCCACACAGGAAATCAAGAGAGAGAAAGGATCCTCTGATTAATTGGTTATCTGTATCAATTCAGATCATACCCTCTTTGTTGAGAACAGCTGAGAAGAGTGTGGATAGCCAAGTGAGTCTAGTTTAAGAAGGAGATCTTGATTCCTTTTCCAGGAGTGCTTTTTTAAAAGTATTGAGATAAAATTCACATACCATAAAATTTACCCTTCTAAAGTTTACAATTTGGTGGTTGCAAAACTCAGTCACAGTTATGCAGCCATCACCCCTAATTCCAAAGCATTGTCATCGTCCATAAAAAGTCCTCTCTCTATTAGCAGTCACTTCCCATTGCCTTCTCCCCCCAGCCCCTGGTGCCTACTAATCAACCTTCTGTCTCTTTGGATTTTCCCAGGAGTACTTTTGAACTTGAGTCAGATATTTCCATTCTTTGTGCTTTCTCTTCTCATCTCAAAATAAATATAACAAGTTCCAGTCTACCTCACAGTTTTAGGTCAAAGCTTTTTTAAGTCAAAATACTTTGAACTTATTAAATCTGTGCTAAAATGAAACATCTGTCTTGAACACGGGTTGTCTGAATCTTCCAGATTCACTTGTCTCTGGGAATCCCCCTCCACCCAGGTACCAGGAACCTTGAGCTTGCAGTTAGCTTGTTTAAATTCATTTGCATCTGAAAATGCTCGGTGGTCTACCTCCCAAGCGGTTGTCCCTTGTCCCCTGCAGATGGACGCGGCAGACAGGAGCTGCACGGTATCCGTGCACTGCAGTGGCCACCGTGTCAAGATGCTGGTCAAGTTCCCCGCGCAGTACCCCAACAATGCCGCCCCTTCCTTCCAGTTTATCAACCCCACCACCATCACGTCCACAATGAAAGCCAAGCTGCTGAAGGTGGGAGTCTATTCATAAATTCCCTTGTGTCGTAAGAGGAAACCTCTGTCCATGAGCGTCCGTGTCTGAGTTGAGGTGTCGAGTGAAAACTCTGATAGAGATGTGAAAGAGATGTGAAAGTTATCTGTCCTTCTGCGCCACTGTGTTAACATTTGCCGTTCACTGTGTGTAGAACACAGTAGAGCGGTGGTTCTCAATCTTTTTTGGTCATGACCCCACTTTGAACATCTAATGAAACCTATGCAGAAAAATTTGCACAAATGTGGTATATAACTTCAGAAATACTGCACGTGAAGAGTATGCAGTTCCATAATTGCCTGTCATCTGCTTGTAGATCTCGTTAAAGCTATGCATTAATCCCGGGTTAAGAGCCCTGCAATACATTTTCATTTATCTGGACACAGTAGGCAAGATATATTCTGAAGCTAAGAGATATTTTATAATCACAAAATGTGAGGTCACTAAAAAAGTTCATTCTGTGAGAGGAGGTGGTGTCCTCCCGGAGTGCGGCTGCCTCGCTGAACATGTGAGGTGTCTGAAGGGATGGCGGTGCCCGAAATGAGGGGATGGCACGGTGTCTGCTCTTCATGCCTGCAGGCTTAGAAACTTGCTCCGTCAGTTCATGGGAGCTCATGAGGCAGAGCCCCCATTCAAAAAGCCCATGAGCTAGGGATGCTACACTTTTTTAGTGTGAGCAGCGGCATGCATGAAGTAACTGAAAAGTCCCGACCAGCCAAGTTGACCCAAATGCTGTTCACCTTTTGCCCAGTTTGTATCATACACATTTGACCTATCTTGGAGTGAGATACGTAGCCAAGAAATTTTTCAAGCGGTGTAAAGATCTCTCAAATGTTACTTTGGCTTTCTGGTATAGGTACCATTTTGTGTTTGGAATTTTTTTTTATCCAAATATAATTAACACACAGTGTTGTAGTAGTTTCAGTTGTACAGTATAATGATTCAACAATTCTATACATCATCAGCACTCATCACAATAAGTGTAGTCATAATCCCCATCACCTCTTTTGCTCATCTCCCACCTACCTCCCCTCTGGTAACTATCTATTTGTTCTCTGTAGTTAAGAGTCTGGGTTTTTTTGTTTTTCTTTACTTGGAATTTGAGTATTTCATTCTCTATTTGCACATGCAAAAAAGATAGATTTTCCATGGATATAAAAATGATAGGATTAGAAAGTGTCTTTAAAAGTCTAATTCAGTACTGTCTGACAGAAACATAATGTAGGCTACATGTAATTTAAAATTTTCTAGTAACCACACTAAAAACAATTCAAAGTACCAGGTAAATTAATTTCAGTAATATTTTTACTTAATCCAGTACATGCAAAGTGTTATTATATCAACATGTAATCCATATAACAATTGTTGAGATACTTTCCATTCTTGTACTAAGTCTTCAACACTTGGTGTGAATTGTACGCTCCCAGAACCTCTTGGTTCAGACTCTCCTCACTTCCCATGCCCTGTAGCCCCGGGTGGGTAATGACTTCCATATGGGACAGCCTGTTTTCAGCATGGGTATGTCAGTTTATGTCTCCAGCATGTGCCTTAAAATGTTAGGATTTATATTTTTGGAGAAGCAGAAAACAAAAAACAAAAACAGTGTAATTTCCACCAGGTTGAAATCTCCTCCCCCTGGCTTGTATTGAGTGTTACTTCGAAGGTACTGAGATTTTCCTGGGGGTACCGGGGTCAAGCTAGGAGGACAGGACAGGAGTAGAAATCACAGTGGAGGCTTGTGTGCGCGCCCTGGCTGAGGACAGGGTTTCTCGAAGAGAGCGCAGAAACGCCTCTAGAGCAGGTGGAAAGTAGGTTGCTGCGTCGGAAGCCTCAGGCACGGCCGGGCTGCGGTCTCCCTGCATCTTCACGGCTTCCCACTGCTTTGAAGAATAAAGGTGAATCAGGAGAAAGAAGGTTGCTATTCTTGACTGTGTTTCGTGCCTTTTCTAGATCCTGAAAGACACTTCGCTGCAAAAAGTGAAGCGCAACCAGAGTTGTTTGGAGCCCTGCCTGCGCCAGCTCGTCTCCTGCCTTGAGTCTTTTGTGGTGGGATTCTTGTACTGACCTGTGCTTTGGTGTTTTGTTCCATTTCTTCCTCCCCAAAGTAATGTATCCCTATTTTGTAAGTCAGCTTTAAGACAACCTGTGGTTTTTAGTCTGTTAAAATATTTTTTAAGTTTATTTATTTATTTTGAGGGGGGATGGGCATAGAGAGAGGGAATCCCAAGCAGGCTCTGCACTCTGATATGGGGCTTGAACTCCTAAACTGTGAGATCATGACCTGAGCTGAGACCAAGAGTCGGGTGCTTTACCTACTGAGCCACCTGGGCACCCCTAGTCTGTTAATTTTTAAATTTCAGAACCAAGAAGACAGCACTTCCAGCAACCCCTTTGCGCTCCCAAACTCCGTCACTCCACCCTTACCAACGTTTGCCCGGGTGACCACTGCCTATGGGTCATACCAGGATGCCAACATTCCCTTCCCTAGGACCTCGGGGGCCAGGTTCTGTGGAGCAGGTTTGTCTTTCTTTGGGTTCTCTGATTCTAGATTTTGAGAGTGAGAAGCTCAGAATGTCCTGTGGTCTATAAAGAAATCTCAGAAAAATCAGAAAAGTTTTCTTTGCTTTTGTTAACTGGTAAGTCAGAAGACTGTGGTAGTGATAAATGGTGTGATGCCGAATTGGCTTCTGTGGGCATATCCTGAGAACGTTTGACTGAATTGTGGTTTCAATTTTTCTCATTCTGATGAGCATGAATTGGAGTCTTACTCAGATCCCTGATTCTCAATACAGGACAGGTCCCCTAGCAAAGAAATAGAAAGTACCTGACCTTTGTCCTTGTTAAAGTATGGCCGTAGTCAGGACTGACCGGTGCTGCCTTAGGATTTCCCACGTGCAACTCATTGACCTTGATGTGCACATGTGGTGTCTCCTTTGTCAGGGTATCTGGTGTATTTCACACGGCCTATGATGATGCATCGAGCAGTGTCTCCGACAGAACCGACTCCGAGGTGAGCCTGATGCAGATATAAGCTACATTCATAGAGCCCAAAGTGGCCACACATCTGGGAATGATCGCTGCGTTGGTCTTGGGACAGTGTGTGTTAGTTCTTCAGTAAATACCCATTAAAAGATTCATCCGAGAAAGATCAGGTTCATTAAATTGCCCCTCAGCTGAAATTTGTACTGTCAGATTACTGCCTAACCACTGGAAGAAGTTTGATTAAAGCTGTTGTCAAAACAAGGCAAATTCCTTTTTTTACTGTGCTTTTCCCCTATTGCTAAAGTATTATTTGAACATTAAATAACAACAGAAAAATAACAACAAAGGTCATCTCTAGTTTCACAACACTAGTATGCCACTTCTACCATTGCCAAAACATGTTAAATTTTTATAAACTACATTCAGTGGTTGGGAAAACTCCAACGTTATGAAAGTTTTAAATTAAGATTTGAAAGCTCTGATTTCCCATGGGGAGTCATCGTTAGCCATTTAACGTGCTTCCTGTCTGGTCTCCGTTTTTTGTTCGTTTTGTTTTGTTTTGTTTTGTTTTGTTTTGTTTTTAAGAGGCAATCTAAGGTAGCACATGGGGATGTGGACTTCGGAGCCAAACCACCGGCTCCAAATCTTGGCCCTGCTGTTCTGTACCTTATGGAAGTTATCTAAACCGTCCTTGAGTTTCCTCACCAATAACTTGGGGATCATATGGCATCTACCTACTTTGGCTACTGGGAAGATCAAATGAGTTAATCCCTGTGAAGCATTTAGAACACTGTGTGGCATGTTGCTCTTGTGTTTCCTAGCACTACTGTTTAAGTTTTCACTGTTTTATTGAAATATAGTTCACATAGTATACAGTTGAACCATTTAAAGTATATAATTCAGTGGTTTGTTGTATATTCACAGATATGTGTAGCCATCACTATAGTCAATTCTAGAACATTTTAATTACCCCTAAAAGAAACTGCATCCCCTAGGTGTCAACACTCCCAAGTCCCCCTTTCTTCCAGTATTAGGCAAACACGAATCTGCTTTCTGTCAATCATTTTGCCTGTTCTGGGCATTTTATAGAAATAGTATCAGATAATTATGTGGTCCTTTGTGACTGGTTTCTTTTAAAAAATTTTTTTTTATAGTTTTTTAATTTATTTTTGAAACAGAGAGAGACAGAGCATGAGCAGGGGAGGGGCAGAGAGAGAGGGAGACACAGAATCTGACACAGGCTCCAGGCTCTGAGCTGGCTGTCAGAGTAGAGCCTGATGCGGGGCTCGAATCCACGAACTGTGAGATCATGACCTGAGCTGAAATTGGACGCTTAACCGACTGAGCCACCCAGGTGCCCCGTGACTGGCTTCTTTCATAGTGTAATGTTTTTTTTTTTTATTTTTAAAAAAATGTGTATTTATTTTTGAGATGAGAGAGAAACAGAGTGTGAGCAGGGGATGGCAGAGAGAGAGGGAGACACAGAATCTGAAGTAGGCTGCAGGCTCTGAGCTGTCAGCACAGAGCCTGATGCAGGCCTCACACTCACAAACCATGAAACCATGACCTGAGCTGAAGTCAGATGCTCAACTGAGCCACTGAGGCACCCCTCACTTAGTGTAATTTTTTTTCTTCTTTTTTTTTTAGTGTAATGTTTTCAAGGCTCATACATGCTGTAGCATGGTTGTTATCTTTTTTTTTTTTTTAGAGAGAGAAAAAATGTGCAAGCAGAGGAGAGAGGCAGAGGGAGAGAGAGAATCTTAAGCAGACTTCCATGCTCAGCTCAGAGCCCAACAAGGGACTCAATCTCACAAACTGTGAGATCATGACCTGAACTGAAATCAAGAGTCAGATGCTCAACTGATTGAGCCACCCAGGCACCCCAGTACTTCATTGTTTTTAATGTCAGATAATATTCTACCATATGCATGTGCCACATTTTATTTATTTATTCATCAGTCTGTGGACATTTGGGTTATTTCCACTTTTGGGCTATTACATATGATGCCGCTCTAAGCACTCGTATACAAGTCTTTGTGTGGACATGGATTTTCATTTTTCTCCTGGGTATACCTATGAGCGCAATTGCTGGATCACATTAGAAAGGGTTTTTTTTCCTTAATAAACTTCATGTTTTAGAGCAGTTTTAAGTATGTAGCAAAACTGAGTGGAGGGTACAGAGAGTTCTCATCCTGTCCCCACACATGGACAACCTCTTCCCCATACCACTGGTTTTTTTAACTTAAATATTATAAGGTACTTACGATGGACTTCTGCTTCTGCCGTGGGGTGACTAGGATAACGTGGAAGCCCTCCCACTGCAAACACCTGGATGTATTGAATGAAACACAGTTAGCATACATCCAGGAGAGAAAGGAGATTGAACCAAGTGCACGAGGAGGCACTACTGCTGTCCCGGGTGTGTCTGCAGTCACCCGCGCAGATACGACCTTGGCTGCACAGGCCTGGGGAGTTAAGTGTCAGATACCCTGTGCAATTACTTTGGGTTCCTTGTTCGAAAGACTGAACCAGAAAACAAGCACCTACTCTCAAAGGGAAACAATATTATGTGTATCTGGACTTTGTATCAGAGGGAAAAATGTTCCTCTTAGAACAGTTTTCACACTAACAGTATTTTTGTGAGGTCAAGTTCACAGTACGCAGATGTCAAGGGTGTACCTTTTTTTTTTTTTTAATGTTTTATTTATTTCTAGGAGAGAGAGAGAGCCAGCTTGGGCGGGGGAGGGTCAGAGAGAGAGGGAGTCACAGACTGAAACAGGCTCCAGGCTCTGAGCTGGCAGTCAGCACAGAGCCCGACGCGGGGCTCAAACCCACGAACCGCGAGATCATGACCTAAGCGAAAGTCGGACGCTTAACCGACTAAGCCACTCAGGCGCCCCTGTCAAGGGTGTACCTTAATGACCAGCACCTGGACCAAGATGCAGAGCAGGAGTTTTCTCTGTCTTCCCGCAGAGGAAACCGGTCTTCCAACTTCCTTCATTGTAGCTGCAGTTTTGCCTGTGCTTGAGCTTTGAGTAGCACATCATGCCGCGTGCGCTGTTTTGTGCCTCACCTGTTTTGCTCACTTAATGTTTTTGAATTTGATCCACATCCATTGTATGAAAATAATACAATTTATCGTTCTCCTCTTGAGGGATATTTGGATTATTTCCAGTTTGGAGCTATCATGAGTAGACCTACACATGTAAGTCTTTTTATGGATGTGTATATTAACTTCTCTGCCTAAGGGGCATAATCCCTGGGTCATAGGTCAGGCGTATGTTTGACTTTTTTTTTTTTTTAAGCATTGCCAAAAAGTCTGTCCCCAGTGGTTGTGTCATTTTACACTCTTACCAGCGGTGTTTCAGAATTACGGTGGCTCCACATTCTTGCCAAAATTTGATATTTTCAATCTTTTCAACTTTAATCATTGTGGCTGGCGTGTGGTATCTAATCGTGGTGATGACTGGTGATGTTGGGCAGCTTTTTTGTGTTCTTTGATCATTTGAGTATATTCTGTTGTGATGTGCCTGTTCAAGTATTTTGCCCACTTTTTTAGAACTAGGTTTTTTATGAATTATTTGTGGTAGTTCTTTATTCTGGTTTATTCTTAGTTTGCTGGAAGTACAGATACATTTAATCTGTGATTGTCTGCCTCTCTCCCTAATGATTTTTGATAAATGCAAGTTTTAATTTTGATAAAAATCTAACCTATCACTTTAAAATTTTTATGTTTAGTGCTTTCGTGTGTGTTCTAGAAAAAGAAATCATTGCCTACCCCAAGGTTACAAAATAGTCTTCTCTTTTCTTTTAAAAGTTTGTAGTTTTAGATTCCTTTTTTAAGGTCTGTAGTCAATTTCAAATTAATTTTTTGTGTGTATGGTATGAGGTAGGGGTCAAAGTTTGCTTTTTCAGTAGAAATAGTTATTGTTCCAGCACCACTTATGGAAAAATTTTGACTTTCCTCATTGAATTTGCATTGATTAAAAAAAAATTACATTGATACCATTATTGAAAATCAATTGAATGTGTTCGTGGGTCTAATTCTAGAGTCTGCTTTTTTTCCTTTGCTCTATTGGTTTCTCTTTATGCCAACACTATACTTTAAAATTTTTTTAAAAAAATTTACATCCAAGTTAGTTAGCATATAGTGCAACAATGATTTCAAGAGTAGATTCCTTAATGCCCCTTACCCATGTAGCACATCCCCCCTCCCACAACCCCTCCATTACCCTCTGTTTGTTCTCCATATTTAAGAGTGTTTTATGTTTTTGTCCCCCTCCCTGTTTTTATATTATTTTTGCTTCCCTTCCCTTATGTTCATCTGTTTTGTATCTTAAAGTCCTCTTATGAGTGAAGTCATAATGGTATTTGTCTTTCTCTGACTAATTTTGCTTAGCCTGATACCCTCTAGTTCCATCCATGTAGTTGCAAGCCAACACTATACTCTTAATGTAGCTCTTCTGTAGTAAGTCCTCAAATGTGCTAGGGTAAGTCTTCCAGTTTTATTACTCTTTTTCAGAATTATGTTGGCTATTGGCTAGGTCTTTTACATTCCTGTAAAAATATGAAATGGCTAATTGGTTTCTACAAGAAAAAAGTCTATTCATATTTTGATTGGAAATGTGTCAACTCTGTAGATCAGTTTGGAGAAAACTGACATCTGGACAGTAAGATGGAATATTCTGATCACTAACATGATACTTCTCTGGTTTCTCAGCAATATTTTATATTTTCAATGCACATTTTAAAATTAAATTCGTTTCTAGGTATTTGATGCTTTTGTAAATGAAATTCTTAAAGTATTTATTTCTAAATGTTTGTTTCTAATGTATAGAAGTACAGTAGGTTTTTATATATTGGCCTTGTATCTAAATTCACTTATTCTAATAGTTTGTAGATTCCTTTGAATTTTCTATGTATACAGTTACAGAAGTAGTCTTTGCTTTTGGAGACAAAGCATTTTTCAGTTCTGTAAGTTCTGTTGTGTTCTTTTTGTTGAGTTTCCTTTTTTCCCCCATTTTACCCATCTTTCCCCCTTGGTTTCATCATCAATACTGTGCTTAAGAGCGACAGTATTTGGGAATAAATAGGCTGAGGCCAGTATGAATAATTCTGTTTTCAGAATTGAAATAAATAGGCTGAGGCCAGTATGGATAGCCAAAAGGCTGAGGCCAGTATGGATAATCCTGTTTTCAACTACAGGTCTCTGTCAGCCTTGTCTGCTTACCATACTGGCTTGATAGCACCAATGAAGATCCGCACAGAGGCCCCTGGGAATCTTCGTTTGTACAGCGGGAGCCCCACTCGCAGTGAGAAAGAGCAGGTCTCCATCAGCTCCTTCTATTACAAGGAGCGGGTAAGTGGGAGAGGCATGGCCTCTGATTCTTACTCCTTCTGGATTCTTGGTTTTTGCCTCCCTGCCTGCTGTGAACATCAGTTAAGTTAGTAATGCCCCTGTAGTCTTTAACTTTCAACATTAGTTGGTTCAAGAAGGACCTTTGCTTCATTCCTTTCAGTTGGTTTTAGCTACTGTGAATTGTGTGTGTGGAGGGATGGGTTCGTTCTTAGATTCCATATTCTTCGCTCCCCATTTAACCCTATCCTTGATACCCCCATTTATGAAGTTGATTCCCCTTCTTTCAGGTAGCATAATTTAGCTACAGATCTGCCTTGGTATTCTGATGTTTGTCAACAAATTAAGGGATGCCTCTGAAGGCTTGGGATCTCCATATATTTAGAAGTTGATAGTGGTGAGTTTTTAAAGTTGATCTCTAAGAGGTCTTATGCTTTTGCTAAATCTACACTGAAATGCCCATCTGAATGGATCAGTGTATACAAAAATCACCTGAGCCTGTTCTGTGTTCCTGGGTTCTTAAGGAACTCATCATCCCTAATGTAGCTATTAAGCTGTCAGAAGCAGAAGCCTTTGGTGATGACAGTGTAGACAATGTTGGCAGAGCGTAGGAATGCTTCTCAGAACTCTTTCTGTGTTGTCAGATTGAGAGGCTGGTTTAAACTGGCTTTTAACTGACTGATGTTTTAAACAGAGCTACCACGAAGCTACTAACCAGCTCAATCCTTAGGAATTCTTTGTTGTTGTCCCCGACTAATTGAGAAATGATGGATTGACTATAATTGAAATGTGTTTTATAAAAAATTGAATTATTTTAAATAAAAACCCAGTTTCCAGAAAGTGTTAGAGGTGGCTTCACTTCGATTGCAATGTAGTGTCTAACCTTGGTTCACAGATAGTTGTCCACCTCTGAATTTGTTTAGTCTTAGAGTTTGTATGTGACTGAAATGAACAAGTGGCAGGAGCTGATGCTTGAGGCAGGACCGACTTTGGAAAAAACCACTCAGTTGAATGGAGACAGTGATATTTTTGTTGTCTTTCTGTAGTTCCCTTCTTCACATCTCTGGTGGAACTGTGCCCCTCTGGCTGTCACTGACTTCTTGGAACACATGTATTCTCACAGGTCCTTTACATTCAAAAATTTTAGGATCTCCCCGCCCGTCCCCAAGCGAGCTAGCAGGCAACTGGCTAGATGGTCAGAACTACGGCATTTTATTGACATGATAGCCAAACAGACCCATGGTTGAGTAAATGGGGGAATTTTCTTGAGCATCAGAGCCCAGTTGAAGAGATCTCTCAGTCAAAGAGATGGTTCTCAATCCTCCTTTGAATCATGTCATGTGTTACTCATGTGTTTGGATTGGGAAAGTAGGTTGACTAGCACTTTTGACCCTGATAATGCAAAAAGGCCATGTCTAGTCAAAATAACTCCATTTCCATGATGCGGCCTCTCCTAATGCAAAAGCATTTGTAAAACTTTACATCCATGTTTTTCACAGTCTAGTCTCTTACTAAATACCATAATCACAAAGAGGGACCAAAGGCACACAGATAATTACCTTTTATCGGATAGGATCTGCTGGGGAGGAGGGGGAGGACTGTGGTACTTCACTCTGGATGATTCCCAGGGTACAGCTTCTCCAGAGAAAACGAGCTGTTATAGTCTCTTAGGATAACCTAATATAACAAATGGTCTTTAAGTTTTATTTGGGATAGTGATCACATAAAACAGGAGCAGACACTGTAATTTTATTGGAAACTTTTGTATTTCTGTATAATATATGTGCAGAAAAGTTCACAAATCATTAGCACATAATTCAGTGAATTAATCTCACACAGGCCAAGAAATAGAACATGATAAGAACTCTAGAAGCCCTGGGGGAGGGAGGCACATTTCAGCAGGTGACAGATAGATGGTACTTAATAGGTGACATCCTATGAAATTACTGATATTTGATCATTTTTAATCTCAAAAAAAAGTTTCATGTGGTTCAACCGTATAAGTAGTTGAGTGAGTCATTTGTGATGAATCTCAAATAAATTCATCTCTCCTTAAACCTTGTTCATGTTCATCCCATTTACATGGGGCAGAGGATGGGGTGGGGAGTTAGGGGAATGAAATATGGCAACACAGCCATGATATCTTATTTAGGCCATCTTCCTTCCTCTTAGAGGTCAATACGGTTTTATCCCTCAAGGAGTATTTTCTTGTCCTCAGGTATCTAGTTTGACATGTCAAATAATACCACTTTTGTTACTTTTGTTCTCGAAGTGATTCCAGATCACTAAATTTCTCTGTGCTTAAGTCTTTATTTTCAGCCCCAATTTTTCTCCTACATATTTTTTTCTCTTTTAGATCTGTACCCGAGATCTCTAAATGAGTAAGAATAAAGGAAAAGAATATGACTATATTAAAGTATATAGCATTGAAGGAATTATAGAGTATTTTGGAGATTATAAGAATCTTTATGAAAAAAAAAATAAAAAAAATAAAAAAATTAAAAAAAAAAAGAATCTTTATGGAGCCTTTGGGTATTTTACTGTTCGTTTCTCTTGTTTTTGTGTGTTTTTAACCTGCCCTACTTAGGTCATATTATCATATTTACCCAAATGTTCTCCATATGATATTCCAAGTTTGGCTCCTAATACTTAAAAATGTGAGAGACCCCAAAAAAAAACCACCGCAGAAACAACTATCAAATTTCATAGGAAGTTAGAAAGCCCAGAGAGATGCTAACATTCATTTGGTAAATGGACCAGCTATTAATAGTTGGTGAAATATTGTTTATTCCTAGGGCAAATCAGAAGACTTAGAACTTGGGATAAACATTAGGCATTGGCCTATAAAGATTTTTTACATTTTGCAACCTCCACCCATGCTTCAGTTTATGTTACTAAAATAGCTCTAGTGTAAATAACTGAGGAGGTCTTGAAGTTAATAGAATAATTTCTGATTTCCCATAAGCAGTGCTTTTCAGCCCCAGTTTCACACTGATGCTCATGTTGTTAGCAGGTGCCCTCGGGAGGGCAGCTTTTCAGCTTTGCTCCCTCTTTCCCTTCACTTCTCATGGGTTCTCACCTCCCCATGGTGTCACTCTGAAAATAGTCCTGCCACCCCAAGGTCAAGGCTTCCAATATCCCTCATTGCCCCCACCGATCCTAACCACACATCAGAAACAATTTGGTGTTGGGTCTACCAAGGAACTTCTTCCTTATTAGGAATGAGAATCTTCTCACATATACATATGTATGCTCTTAATGGGGAGAGTAGACCCCCTACCTATTTCTCTGTTTGCACTACGATCTTAATCCTCACGAGAGTACTGCAAACCTTGGCCTCCTCAGAGCTGTGTTTACACCAGCCTCCTTAATATCTTCGAATGTGTTTTGAACCAAAGAATTAGGACATTGAAGCTGGGTTTGGAGTGCAGGGGGTCTGGAGGGAGGTGAGGGAATCCAAATATTGCTGCGGTTAGGTTCAGATTTTTAGTCATTCAAGCCTGATTTTACAGTATATTGTGGTACCTTTTAATCCATCAGATATGTGGGAAGCTTTCATTTTATTCTATATTTTTCCCTTTTAATTTTCTTGGTGTTTTTCTTCCCTCCTCCTGGGTGTAACGTTTTCACGCACAGATGTCTCCTCGCTCTGCCCGGCGACGTTGGTCCATACAAGCAATTAACGACTTCCCGGTACTGTGCGCTGTGCAAATGCTCTCCTTGACTAATCCTGTCTGCCCAAAGGCCCAAGAATAAAATGCCACCTGCCTGGCTTTGAGGAACCTGAATGACAGGCTGGCTGGTTCTCAGGACCAGCACAATAAATTTTTCACTCTTGGGAGTCAGGTGCCGAGGGCTTCCTCTTTGTTTCATCCAATTTCAAGTGGGTGAATCCTGATATCGTTAAGGATTGTGAATGGACTTCTTTGAAAATGAAACCAAACCCTGGGTTTCTTGGAAAGAACCCCATCTGTAAGCCTGTAACTCACCTGATTTCACTTGGAGTATTTGTTATAATTTCCTGGAGTTTTCAAAAGCCTACCTTTGGCATGGGGTGAAGCAGAGGAAGATATAAGAGGCTTCTGCCATTTTGTCTCTCTGTTTTTATCGTCTTGGTCTAGTTCAAAGAGGGAAGTGCTCACCTGCTTCATTGGCATGATGCATAAGCTAGTTTTTAATCCTTCGGGAACTTTCTGGAACAAATTTTTTCCTTACCATCAGTATTTTGCATTGCAATAAAACCTCTGCTGTGGACATCCTCTTCCTTTTCTTTCCTTCTTACTCATTCCTATTGGCCACCCTCCTCTTCTGTCTTCCTCTCCCACCCCCTCCATGTTTCAGTAGTGCCAAGGTGGCCTCAGGCTGTGGAAGGCAGCCTTGGGGCTTTTGTGCAAATTTCACTGCGTATACAAAATATTTAGGGGAATAGTCCTATAGCCTTTTCAGGTCAAAACTAGTTGAAATCAGGAACCCTGATTCACAAGTGCCACTGCTGCTGACAGCTTGCAGGCGGAGCCGCCAATGTGGCCACCTTTCCTCCACAAGTCTGTCCCAGCCAACCCAACTGTGGAGTTTCCACTGATTTTCCAGAAGTCTCTGCTCCTGCTGCTATTGAAATAGGAACTCATTTTGACTTACTGCCCACTCTGCTAATTATGCATTGTTGGTGGGGTTGCTGCGAAGCAGTTGGTGGCTTATTCTTGGGCTGTTTTTACATTTAACCCATTTATTGGCATTGATGTCGCCTCCAGTTGTAGCGGTAACACTGGTGGTACAGTCGCAAGCTGGCTGTATTGGTTGTCATTCAGTGCTGTTCGCACCAATGCCTCCCCCTGCCCCCCAGTCCTTTCCTCCCTGTCCTCTTTCCTATGATCCCATGAACGCCTTCTTGGTATGTTCAGAGGAGCATCCTGGTGCTCATCATGTGATAATTGTCTGTCTCGTTTTGTCTCTCTTCCCTCAATCCCTGCTTATGAAATCTCTGGGGAAGGGGGCATTTTCTCTACTGAAGGGGCATTGAGGAGACCTGAGAGAAACGCAGGGCTTGGCCTCCCAGAGGTACCGATCCCTGTTGCACAGAAAAGTATCCATACTTAATCTCGTCAGAGTGGGACTGAGGCAGTGCACAAGTTTAAGGAGCTTTTATGTCAAAGTGCCTTCCCCTCCCCTAGAAGGTTCGGCCACATCTCAGCCTGCTGTGTCACTGTTCTCTGTGTGTCATCACCTGACGGTTGCACAGACGAGAGATTCCTAAAATCGTCAGCAAGAGGGAAGGGAAGAAGAAGTCTTGGGGAGGAGTACATGGGACGTGAACCCTTTCTTGCTGCAGGAAAGTTGTCCATGCTTGTTGGGAAGCAGGAGGGACTCATGGCCCACATCTTATTTGAGATTTAACATGTCTTTATTTAGGTAGCCTTGTTATATGTGCACCCCCAGAATGATCGGCCACTAGAATGGAGTACTGAGTAACCCCTGTAGCCTGAGGGGAGATAGTTCATACCTGAAAAACACCAACCAATAAATAGAAAAAACAAAACTATTTTCTGACCCCTTACAGATTTTGATAATGTTTTGCCATTATTCCTTGCTGGATTCAGTGACGGAATAGCGCTGCCCCATAAAGGCTTTACAGTTTGATTCTTGGTGGCAGCTAGGTGCTGGTCACCCTTGGTGAGGGTGATCCAGTGGTGGCGAACCTCCTTCTGTTACAGGCTCAAAGGCAGCTCCATGAGTTTCCACAGAACATCGTTTGTACATCAGAGAAACACCTAGAAGCCTGGTGTCTCCAGAAGTAGACAAAGAAGTCCCAGGAAATACAGACTGTGGTTTCCATAATTCATTGAAGGATAATTGCAGCCAGTGGTCCAAGCCCACTGTCTTTCCATTTTCTTCCAATGCTTATTGATGGCACCCATGGGTTTGTTTCTACCAATCTCTGTAACCAGGGATGACAGATGGGCAGGGGCAAGATTCCCAAAGCATCTCTTTGGACTCAGTTCTCTTCTCTCTGAATGTGCCTGCCCGTAACACATCCCGAAAGGAGACTAAACAGAGTAAGGCTGAGGGTCTTGAGCCTGGCCTGAAATTCAGCATCTGAGTCTGAGCCCGGTGTGCCCCACGTGAAGCCAGTGGCTTTGGCCGCCCCAAACCTCTGCCAGTGCTCACGCTGCTGTGGCTCAGCGGAATGTGCTCATGGTACTTGGCAGAGAAGTGAAATGAGGCCTAATTGTAGAGGCTGGTGTGTCAGGTAGGCCTCACTGCGATCAGATGTTGATCTCCTTATATGCAGAAATGATTCCATTTAAAAATAGACCAAACTGTTTACATATTAACAGGTAGCTTAGTCCTAGGGCCACTCCCCCCCCCCCCATTTTAATCCAAAATCATGCACTAAAAACAAGTTAATAGGTACGGGCTTAGCAGCCCAACAGCCTATATGTTCAAATCTCATCTCTTAGTGGCCTCAAGTAGGACTCACATCCTTGTTTATGAGATGGAGGCAGTGCCCGCTCTTTCAAGAGAGCTGTGTGATCCCCACACTCACAGAGGGTGAATGGCCCAGAGCAGCAGCTAATGTTCATAATAATAGACAGATCTTTAAATTCTAAGCCAAATATTTACATGCTTGGACTGTATCGAGGGCATCTCATTTCCCATATACTGGCTCCCCAGTAGTCATTTGGAGATAAGGCTGTGGGGAAAATAGGACAGTTGGTCGTGATTTTCCCCGTCCACTATCCAGGTCCCTGTGCTCAAGTATTTTTGACATTCTAAAGTGATCACTCAGAAATAATTCAAGTCCACTAGGAAAAACATGTTTAAATGAGCTAGTCTGTATGCAGAGGAACCACTTTCGGCACACAAACCTTAATATTTTTCTTTCATTAGGTTTGCTTAAAAACACAGAAAGTGTGGCTTTCAGCATGATCTGTAAGCTAGTAGGCCCCATCCCTCACGAGGCCGCCTTTAGTTCCCACCATGTAGTTACATGGCGCTACCGTGAAGTGCTCAACTGTCCAAGTCCAAGTGCTGCTCGTTTTCTCTTTGCAATAAGGAGCCAGAGTGTCTGCCTGGAACAGTGCTTGAGAAGCCTCCCGCCTAACCCAGAAAGCCAGTGAGACCGATCATTTTCCGTTCCAGGTGCAATCTTCTTACTGTAGATCTTTTCTTTTGTTTCTTTCCTACATTTTTAATCCAGTCCCCTGAATCTCATCCAAGATGACCAATTGGGTGAGACCTACTCAGCTGCTGTTTCCTGGGATTTTTAAACTCCTGGAAACCTGGATGAAAAAGTTTGTGTACTTACACCCTCCCTGTTCCAGTTAACCACACCGTGCTGTTCCCGTCACTGCCCTGTAGATGTACATGAAGTTAACCTGCCTAAAACCTGTCACGTCAGAGTATCTCACGCATGTGTGATGACCTCCGTCTATTGTTGGTTAACACTGCCTGGCTCCAGCCCATTCTGACATGTTGTTTGATCTTTAGCACATTCTCCCCTTACCTGCATCCACGTCAGGTTATTTGTGGCTAGAAGACTAGTGTTTTCGTGAGTTTATACATAATTCTTTTTTTTTCTTTTTCTTTTTTTCTTAGAGAGAGAGAGAGAGCAAGCAATGGAGGGTCAGAGAGAGAGGGAGACGCAGAATCCGAAGCAGCCTCCAGGCTCTGAGCTAGCTGTCAGCACAGAGCCCGACACGGGGCTCGAACCCACGAACCGTGAGATCATAACCTGAGCTGAAGTGGGACGCTTAACCGACTGATCCACCCAGGCACCCCTATACATAATTCTTTAGAAAAAAGCCAGGACTAGTGGAAAGCCAAAGGGCTGCCATGCAGTAGTCAATGAGCTTCCTCTTGTATGGATAATAATGATGTTTATGAATAAAGAATATATGGTAACTAAAATACTTCTTAAGATCAAATAGGTTAAGGTTCCAAATTGATAATGTAGCATGTGTATTTACCAATTATGATAAATAATTCAGAGACTTCAGCTAAACTCCATTTACCTGCCATGAACCAAGTCCAGGTGTCCTGGATCTAGTAGGTTCCACACACGTACTGAGCTGATAGGAAGTTACATGCATTGGGCACCTTTGGGGATGAGATGGATCATCACTGGTCAGAAGCGACTAAATGCAGACCATGACTAATGAATGGACGAGTGATTGTATAAAAATCACTTGTGGAAAATGAGTTATTTGTAAGTAATCTAAGTAATGATCTAATCTAAATTCCTGAGGGCTTATATAGGGTCATAATCACTGCAGACTTTTTAATTGCACGTTTTCAGTTTGTACTCTCACCTTTTCATTGTGCCCATATTAAACTTGCAAGATTGGAACAGAGCTCATCTGGAGACAGTTACCAGTGAGCACAGAGAGTGACATGAGACAAAATTCACAGCCAGTGAGTGGCTCACCCAGGGTCACGACGAGCCAGCACATGCTGTAATGAGACCAGCACACCTTGGTTTTCTGACTCAAGTTTGCTGGCCCTTTCACTAGCAACTTTGTTCATTAATAAGTATGTCACTTCCCCCCTGAGTTGAGTCGCTCTGGTGGCCCCCTTTTAAAATTTCCAGCAATAAAATAAAATATTGCTCCCTTGGCTGGATGTCATTTTGAATATACCAGATGGGGCTACACTGATAATTCTTCCTTTCCAAGACATCTCTCATTTCCCTCCTTTGTAGGTGAGGCCCCAGGGAGATAGGACAGTTGGTCATGATCTTCCACGTCCATTACCCAGGTCCCTCTGTTCAGCTATTTTTGACATTCTAAAATGATCACTTTTAAGTAATTCAAGTCTGCTAGGAAAAACCTGGTAATCCTCCTGAACTGCTAAGTTTCTCTGCCTGCCTGCCACAGATTAAGGTTTGCAGAGCCCACACCGCTGTGTGTAAATTAAATTCCCAACAAATCCTGTTAAAGCTGTCTGAGAAGAAGAAAGCTTTGGTTAGTTTCAAGCAAGAACTTTGAACCTAAGACTGATCCCAACCTTGAAAGTTGCTCTTCCCCCACATTTTTGTCGTCTCTACTAACTTATTTACCTGCTGTTCTCTCCTCCTCCTCCCCTTCTTCCTTTTCCTCTTCTTCTTCCTCTTCCTCTTCTTCTCTGGATTCAAGGTGTCTGGTTTTGGACACCTGCAGAATGTATGTAGCATTGCAGTAGGGTGCTTATTTTCCTGTTAGGATTTTGAACCAAGAGCTCAATGCCCTTTGCCATCCTTTTACTTCCTACAGATGCTGATTCATGTAATTGTGGGCATGAGGTAATGCAGGGTCTCTGCAAATAACCAATGATCCAACTCTGATGTGCTCTGCAACCGTAGGTTTCCATTCGTTCAAGTCCCCATAGTTATATCTCATCATCTCCCCCAGAAATCCAGGAGATGGAAAAGCAAACGTGAGGGATCGGACTCCGGCAATCGACCCATCAAGGCTGCTGGGAAGGTTATCATCCAGGACACCGCATGCCTTCTTCCTGTTCACAAGTCACTGGGAGAACTGTACATGTAAGTGCACCCTGCTTATTACACAGTCCTCATAATCAAAGTTGTGTTTGTGGGCTTAAGTCTTGGAACCCTTTCTTCAAAAGCAGCTTTAGACCAGTGTACGAGCTTTCTATTGCTGTGTAACAAAGTACCAGAAACTTAACGGTTTAAAACAACATACACTTACTTGTTTCAGTTTCCATGGGTCAGGAGTCTTGGCATGGCCTAGCTAGGTCCTTGCTCAGATCTTGCCAGGCTGAAATCATGGAGGGGGCCAGGTGGGGTCTTACCCATTTCTCAGAGTCCTCTTCCAAGCTCATTCAGGTGGTTAGCAGAATTTAGTTCCTTGAGGCCATAGAACTTGATGATTTTCATCTTCTTTGAGACCAGTAGAAGTGTTTCTCTGACGCTTCACCTTCTTTCTAAGGTCTCGCCTGATTAGGTCAGGCCCACTTAAGATAATCCACCTTTTGACAAATTCAAGGTGGACTGATTAATAACCTAATCTTGGGTGTGCTGGCCCATCAATATTCACTGGTATCACCCACAATTAAAGGCAGAAGATATTATATAAGGCGTGTAGAGCAAGGGGCTGAAATCTTAGGAATAGCCTCAGAATTCTGCTTTCCGTGCCATTATGTAAGACAGTTAAAAGCAGAGCCATTTTGGTTGAAGGGAGTTGGGAGGCTAGTGGCAGGCATATGGAGACTGGCCTGTGGCCTCCCTGTTTCTTGAACTTGAACACATAACAAAAAGTGTTTATTTTGTAATATATACACAGCACACCGCTCTTGTGGTAGAAACCACAGTGTTGTACTTATTTAAATCCATTTTTATTCAACCCTCACGCCTGGGGAAATCCACAGAAAAGCTGGTTGCCAAATTGACATTTGAAGCTAGCCTCCTTTCCTGTCTTTAGAGAGGTGAACAGTTTCACCTTCCCCACGCACGAACTCACAGCCTCCTATGAGCTGTAGGTAAGCTTTTTCTCCATATCCTGTCGCAAGGGAGAAGCTTAAGGCCAACATGGATAAGACATTGTGGGTGACAACTAAAGAGGCAGCTTTTAGTCCATCTGTTCAACCATGGGTAATTGGTTTAGGAAGTAAGACTAGAAAAAACCTTCTTTTGTAATATTTCAGATTGAATGTGAATGATATTCAAGAAACATGTCAGAAGAATGCCACTTCCGCCTTGCTCGTGGGAAGAAAGGATCTCGTCCAGGTACTGGGCACCCTTCTGACAGCGGTCCAGGTTTTCCCTTTTGAGCAGGTGGTTGTCCCTGGGTGGTTGTGGTTGAGTGACATTTTAAGCGAGGCCTCGTCTATTTTGCAATTCCTCTCCCATTTTCTTTGACCAGCAGTGAGGCAAGAGCAGCTTTCCGAATCCTTTGGGTTTTTTTCATTAGCGCTTAATTGGGAAGATCCTACAGCTCAGAGACTGAGAATTTTTTATTACATTTCTTTCCTGCTCTGGTACGATGGTGATAGGCACACCCCTATAATTGTGTATCTGTGCCTTTGCCGTTTGCACCCTCAATTCCGTGTTGGGGTTTTTATACTTTAAAAAATGCTTTGTTTCGTAAAAAGTTTTCCACAGCATTCCTTTAGGTGGAAACGTGTTCTGTTTTAAAATATGATGTAAAATAAAATATGATGTCAGCTAGCAAAAAAGTTAATCTCCTTCATCCTAGCAGGATGTTAAAGTGAGCTGCTCCTATTTTTTAAATAGCTTTATCGAGATACAGCCTTATATCATGCATGTACCATTCAGTGGCTTTTGGTATATTCACGGGTTTGCAACCACGTCACAACAGTTTGAGAACATTGCTGCAGGGGTGCCCGGGCGGCTCAGTCAGTTAAGCATCCAACTTCAGCTCAGGTCAAGATCTCATGGTTTCACGAGTTCAAGCCCCATATCAGGCTCTTGCTGTCAGCACAGAGCCCACTTCGGATCCTCTGTCATTCTCTCTGCCCCTCCCCCACTGTCTCTCTCTGTCAAAAATAAACAAACATTAAAGAAAAAAATTGGGGCAAACAAAGAACTAGAACACTTAGACCACCTGCTTGGCTGCTCCTGTTAGTCTTCTCTTCCCCACCCAGGCCTGGGCAGCCGGTAGTCCCCTCTCAGCTCAGTGTTTCCCTCAGCTTTTCTGGTGGCCCAGAACCAAGGCCTTCCCGTGATTTTTATCTGATTAAAAAATCCTTTAAGATTTCCTTTTGTCTTCTCATAAACACTGTCAGGCCTCCATCCCAAACTCTCGAAGATGAGGTTGAAGGTTCTGGATTGAATCTGCTTCTCTAAGGACTCAGCCACCTCAGGGTCTGTGCACACGAGGAAAGGAAAACAAAGTAGTAGAAACGGTGGGGAATTTATCCCGGGAGGTGAAGGTCCAACTCCACTCCCTAGTGGTATAGCCCTGAGCAAAGTATTTCAGACTGGCTCAGCCTCTGTGTGTCTTTGTATGGTGAAAACCAGAAGGTGAATGACCGCCTAGGGTTGGTGAGGTTGGCAATTGCCAACCCTGAGGTAGGCCCACGGTTTGTGTCCTGCAAGATCATTCTCTGTGGACAAGTTACTTCCTAAGGTGTTTTTGTTTTGTTTTATTTTGTTGAAGTTTTCAGTATTTTTCTGTGTGAGTTGATTTGGAAGGTCAGGCTCTTCTGACCTTGGGTTCAGACAGACCCAAGTTTAAACCTAGGCTCTCACTATTTTGTTGTGCGATCTGGCCCAGATACCTAATCTTTCTGAGCCTCACTTTCCTCGACTCTGAAGTAGTCCTGAGTCTAGTCGCAGCGAGAAGGGAGTAAGGTCATGTACCTAAAACTCCCGTACCTATATAAGCTAGATGACAAATATCCAATATATGGGACGGTCACTACTCTGTCCCACAGTTATCATCTCCATTGATGGCACAGTTCTTGTAATGGGATGGAAGTGGCATCGGTGCAGATGCTTGAAGGATGGTTTTTGTTCTTTTTTATGCACACGATGATGTGTCTACTATTGTGCAAAGAGTTGCAGAAATAAACCCAAGTGTCACCTATTCCTGTTGAAGCTGTGTAGAAAATATATATTAAAAGTGAGGCAGTAACATGCCTAAATTGTCAGCCAGAGTAGTAAACATTCCATCCAATCCCACAAAGACATTAACTTCTCCCAGCAACGGTTCAGGTGGGTCCTTGGTTACAGAGATGAAAGCGAACCTCAAGTTTCTTGTCTTTTTTTTTTAATGTTTATTTTTGAGAGAGAGAGCATGTGCTGACAGTAGCGAGCCTGCTGTGGGGCTCGAACTCACGAACTCTGAGATCATGACGTGAGCCAAGTCGGATGCTCAACCAACTGAGCCACCCAGTTGCCCCTCAAGTTTCTTGTCTGAATCAGTACTTGTGTGTATTAAGTACACTGGTGCCATTTAATTTATTATTTGTTTGTTTGTTTATTTTGGTGAAAACATTTAGATTGAGATTTACCAGCTGGACTGAGTTTAGATGATCCCAGTTTTGTTGGCAGCATCCAAAGCATCAAAGTCAGGAGCCAGCTAAACATATGCCTTTTTCTATCCATTGGGCCTGATCAGAGTATTGACCTTGGCCACGTCAGTGTTGTAGAGCTTCTTCACAGCCTGTTTGATCTGGTACCTGTTGGCCTTGACATCCACAATGAACACCAGTGTGGTGTTGTCTTCAGTTTTCTTCCTGGCTGGCTCAGCAGTCAGGGGACTTTATGATGCCGTAGAGCTCAAGCCGGTTTCTCCTGGGGGTGCTCTTTCGAGGATATTTGGGCTGCCTTTGGAGACAGTGTCTTGGGCCGTCCGAATGTAGGTGATGTGTGGATCTTTTTTTTTTTTTTTTTTTATGACCATAGACACCTTTTAGCACTGCTTTCTTGGCCTTCAAAGCCTTTGCTTTGGCTTCGGCTTGAGGGGGTAAGGCCTTCTTTCTTCACCTCCAGCACCCTCTTCGTGAAAGGGGTCATTTAATTGCCTTATTACATATCTAATGTATTTTTCTACCTGTTTTTCAGTATTTTTATTGGTTTATTCTTTCCTCTTATAGATTCTTTGATGAAAGTCTAAATTTCCTTCTTTTCGGGTTTCTCACAGAGTCTAGTACAGTGTTTTCCAGTTAGTGGTCGTGCAGTGATGTATTGCTACTATAAAAGATTTCCCAAAAGTAGTATTCCTTTTTTGAAGGTATGGAGGGAAGGAGGCTCTTAATATTAAGAGTGTGCTAAATCTTGGATTTGATAGGCACTTCAGTGGACATTCGTTTCGGCTTGATGACCCCAAGCCCTATGAGATTTCAGGTTTGGAGATGTTCCTCAGATTTGATGTCAACAAAAAGAAAACCAAGTCTATTTTGTCCTGGCCTATTTTCCTTTAGCTTTGTGAGTACGCTGAAACTTTTGTAATGAAAGCAACACAGCTTCCTGCTTTTCGGGCAAAGGACAGACCTGCAGTGTGATACAGAATTCTTTTCTTCCCCCTGTCTGCCTCCCCACTGATTAAACAGCAGCAGAAGTCACATGAGTTAGTGGTTAAATAGACAGCCCATTGAAGTTAATACACGGTGTCATTCCTCTGAAGTTTGCTTAATGAAAGTGTTTTTTTATATTTATTTGTTTATTTTTGAGAGAGAGTGCACACGTGTGCACATGCTGGTGTATGAGTGGGGGAGGGGCAGAGAGAGAGGGAGACAGAATCCCAAGCAGGCTCCAAGCTGGCAGCACTGAGCCCAATGAAGGGCTCAAACTCACAAACACTCAGGAATACTCACAAACCGTGAGATCACAACCTGAGCCGAAATCAAGTGTCTGACACTTAACCGACTGGGCCACCCAGGTGCTCCTGCTTAATAGAAGTTTTTAAGACTAGTGTTTCTGAGCATTATAGTCACCTGAGCATCTTGTTAAAATGCAAATTTTGAGTCACTATGTCTGGAATGGGGCCTGATATTTCCAGTTTTTTTTGCCCTCAGAGCAGCCAGGCTTTAGGAGAGGTGGGGTTCTTTCATGCTTCCTGGTCCTGTTCCCCAGTCTGACTGTGAATGCTTCTCTTTGATCTGTCCAGGTTTGGTCGCTGGCTACAGTTGCTACAGATCTTTGCCTTGGACCAAAGTCTGACCCAGATTTGGAAACGCCCTGGGCTCGACATCCATTCGGGCGACAGCTGCTGGAGTCCTTGTAGGTTCAGAGAGCTAAAAGGGAGGAAAACGAGTGATGTAAATTTTAGGTCTATAAACACCTTCAGTGTTACCATCGAAGAGGTCAGAGGAACAGGGGGAAGAAGTGTGATCTTTCCCGTTACTGCTGTAATAATTTCTGTGCAGAACTAACTTCCTACAACAGAAGGAACTATACAGTTTTTGTCATTTACAACAAAGATTTGAGACTCTTGTGTCCTTTAGAGATTTATGCTTTAGCGTATAGGTAACATCAGTCTGAACACAGGAATTTGAACTCTTGAGATGGTAAATATCTTGGGTGCTGTAGAGTTTTGCCCCCAAGAGCAGATCCTCAAATTCCACATTGGCATTTTCCAAAATCCCATTTTCCAAGGGCAACAACGTTTTCACCCTTATAAGGAAATTTATGGAAACACTGAATCTGCATTTGGTTTGTGGCACCGGGATGTGGCAAGCTGGAAGTACAATGTGCAAAGTGATTTACCAGATAAAACCACTTGAACCTTCATTACAGTGAGTCCAGGGTCTGGATAGAAAGACAGAGAAGCTCTAATTCCAGGCAGAGGATTTCTGTACTTACTGTTGAGGCCAGACCTGAGACCTGTGCTCAAGTTTCAGTTGGCTCATGGTCATGCAGGGATGATGACAGTTGTTCTGTCCACGTCGCATAAGGCTCAAATAAGATAGAGTTAAAACACCTGAAGAAATGTTAGACATTACTTGGTAGGAAAGTATCAATGTCATTCCATCACAAAGGCCAAGACGCTCCGATCCCTACCTCACATCCTAACATAGTGGTCCTCAGAGGAGCAGAGAGGATGTGAGTACCTAAAAGGTAAAAATATTCCGTGTTGTTCTTATTTAATAGCTCGTGTTCATAATTCCACCTTCGAGTCATTTGCCAGCTCGCCACGCAGTAGTGGTGGTATGGTGTTCTGAGCACCCTCATGCAGCTTTAGGTTCCGTGAGTGAAGGGTGTAGAAGACCTCCAGAAAGCAGTGGGAGTCTTCTTGGAGTTGGGGAAGAGCACATGCATGGCCCCATTCAGATGTTAGTTTAATCCACTTAGTCTTTGGAGAAGCTACATTCAAGTCTGAGCCATGCCTGGATGCCAACCAGAAGCTTTCATATGAGTTACCTGGGTCATTTGTAATACTCGGATACATTCTATTCCAAAATAAATTTAGCCAGACTAATCAACCAGCTGGGTCTGTAGAAAAGCCTGGTTCCTGACAGGGGCTTATGAGGCACAATTAAGAGTCCTCCCTTCCACCCCAGTGCAACAACCTGCCACAAACTGTGACAGTCACCCTTCCTCCATCTCCTCTCTTGACTTTTTTTCTGTCATCTTCCTCCAGGTTGGCTCATTACTGCCGACTCCGGGACGTCCAGACACTGGCCATGCTGTGCAGCGTGTTTGAAGCCCAGTCTCGGCCCCAGGGAATACCAAACCCCTTCGGACCCTTTCCCACCCGGCCCTCTAACCTCGTGGTGTCCCACAGCCGATATGTAAGCATGCAGCTCTATGTGTGACCTCTCCAAGAGGGAGGCATTCACAGGGCAGCAGGTTCTGATGCCTCTCTTCTCTGTCCTTCAGCCTAGCTTTACTTCCTCGGGCTCCTGCTCAAGCATGTCAGACCCAGGGCTCAACACTGGTGGCTGGAACATAGGTTGGTATGGCGTCGACTTGGCCATGCTGGATTTCTAGCGCTCTGAAAGCCGTGTGTGAGTCTTTAGTGTATAAACGTCAGTTGATGGATATGCTCCACATTTTCCTTGCTCCTCATTTCTCTTCACATTTCCTATGATGGGGATGCTGTAGTCAGCAAGGCCTGGGCTTTCATGTTTGAACAGGCCAGTTTCTGGTATGGCTGTGTTGCTTTTCAACTTACAACTTTGACAAACTGACAGTGGGACTTCTTTGCGTTCACCCCATAAACTCAACCCTCATCCTCTCTCCTTCATGCCCTCCCCACCCCTGTGGCCTGCCCCAGTCATCTGCCGCTTCCTGTTACCCGCGTCTTCCCACGCACCACTTTCAATGTGGAGAAATAAAGATGAGCCTGATTCTGGCTGCCCATAAAGGTCTATTTAATGAATAAGTGTATTTGTGATTTCCAGATATTTGAAATTTCTTTTTAAAAATCATCTTAATTTTCTTGAGGGCACCTGGGTGGCTCGGTCGATTAAGCGCCCGACTCTTGATCTCAGTTCAGGGCTTCATCTCAGTTCAGGTCTTGATTTCAGGGTTGTGAGTTCCAGCCCTGCATTGTGCTCCATGCTGGGCATGAAGCCTATTTAAATAAATAAATAAAAATTATCTTAATTTTCTGGATTATAAAAGTAATACATGCCTAGTGAAGAAAAACAAAAAGTATTAGAGAAGAAAATCCTCATCACTGAACCTCCACCTGGGAGCAGTGTCTGTTCACATTCCAGAACATTTTTTCCCAGTCTATGTCTGTGTGTGTCATTTTTAATTGGATTATGAGCATCTTCTCATGTTGTTTACAAAGTCTTTATGAATGATGACAGCTTTATCCAGTGTTCCCTATTACTGTACCATCATTTGTTACTTGAACATTCTGTGTGAACTCAATTATCCGGTTACCTGAACAGTAAATACCCAGACAAAAGGGAAGGCTCAGGAGTTCTGAACAGTTATATTTCTCAGCATCTTCCAGGGACTAAATTGGATGCACTCTGCATTATGAGGGTTTTCAGGTACTTTCTGTGCCTTCTCTGATTTCCCTTTTTCCCTCCCATTTGATTTTCTTCAGCGGGAAGGGAGGTAGAACATGTGTCTTCACCTTGGGGAGAGTCTTCTCCAGAAGAAATCCGCTTTGGGAGTCTTACCTACAGTGATCCTCGTGAGCGAGAACGTGACCAGCATGATAAAAATAAAAGGTAACGACCTTCCTGGGCGAGAGCTGCAATTTCATAACGCTTAGATTCTCCAAAATTAGGACTCTTGGTTTAAGGAAGGCATATTGAGTTCATTTGGTATCGAGCTTGTTTTTTCTTAAAGGAACTGACAGGAAATCTTTTGAGTTTTTCCCAGGCTTCTGGACCCTGCCAATACGCAGCAATTTGATGACTTTAAGAAATGCTATGGAGAAATCCTCTATCGCTGGGGGCTGAGAGAGAAACGAGCTGAGGTGCTGAAGTTTGTCTCCTGTCCTCCTGATCCTCACAAAGGGATCGGTGAATATGAATTTCTTTCTTTTCCTATTTGAAAGGTCCCATACTTTAGTTTGTCTATAAAGTAAGACTTGGGATGAAGTGTTTTAGCTTCTCACGAGCAGACATTTCTGAAGCATTCTGAGTCTATTTTAACCTTCTGAAAACCCTTGCCTTTGATGAAAAGAGTAAATTTCTATTCTAAATAGAAGTAGTTCTGTAGGCAGGACTCACATACTGATTGAAGGAGAGGAACTTATTCATATATCCCCTGTTACGTATTGAGCATCTGTTAGGCACACCGCTAGCACATTCCTTCCCTCATGGACTTCACAGACTAGCGGGGAGAAAAATTAAAGTTATAAGTGGTGATCAGTGTTTATGAGCAGACAAAAGGATGTTGCTGCAGGGAGGGAGAATTTTAGGGGATGTGCTGCGGTGAACTGGGAAGGCCTTTCTACGGGGCTGAGGTCTGAGGGGCGAGAAGAGGCCATCCGTGCAGAGAGCAGCAGACATTAAATAAGTGAAGGAAGACGGGCTGGAACATAGTGATCAAGAAGAGGGCTACCAGATCAGATCGTAGGACAGTTAGGGACTTTAAGTCACAGTACAGCATTGGGCTTGTCCTCTGAGTCCAGTGGTAAGCTTCCAGTGTAGTAAGAGGTAAGTGACATGCTCTGGTTTCTATTTTAGAAGAATCACTGGATATTAATTTGAAGAAAGGATTGGAGGGGCGCCTGGGTGGCTCAGTTGGTCGGGTGTCTGACTTCGTCTCAGGTCATGCTCTCACAGCTCATGAGTTCGAGCCCCATGTTGGGCTCTGTGCTGAAGCTCAGAGGCTGGAGCTTGCTTTGGATTCTGTGTCTCCCTCTCTCTGCCCCTCCCCAGCTCATGCTCTGTTTCTCTCTCTTTCCTTCAAAAATAAATAAACGTTTAAAAAAATTTTAAAAAAAAGAAAGGATTGGAAGAGGGTGGGGGTAAAAGTTTGAAGACTGATAGGATAGTCAAAGGGAGATCTACAGCCTAGTCTCCAGTGGTATCAGTGGAGGTGGGGGGGGGTGTGGATTAAAAGTACATTTTAGAGGTAGACTTAACATAATATGTTAACACGTTGGATATGGGATTGTAGGAAGAGACAGAGCTTATTAGATAATTCCTGGGTTCTCAGCTCGAACAACTGGGTAGGTGGTGGTGCCAAATTCTAAGATCTAAGAGACTGGGAAAAAAATTACGAGCCCTGTTTGGGACAGGTGGAGATGTGTATGAGATGCCAGACTGTATGGTCCCATAGAGGGCCAGGTGTGAGTCTGGAACTCAAAGAGGAGCCTGGAGCTAGAACTAGGAGTTTGGGAACCTCCATCACGTAGGCTGTACTGAAGCTGTGATATGGGTACATTGCCCTGGGCTTGGGGATGGGGAGTGGGGAGGCCTGGTAGTGGGGAGGAAGTATACAGGGAGATCAAGTGCCCACCCACTTAGTGCCATGAGAGAAACCAGTGCTTGCACTGGGGTCTAGAGGAAGAACCAGAAACACACTTAGCATGAGACATTAGTGAATTTTGAGGAAAAGCAAGATTGTGATCTGAAAGGAGCTAAGGGAAAGGTTTTAAAGGGTGACGTGGAAGACCGCCAGAGAGGGTATCTGAACATGCATTGATTTTCTCTTTCCCCCAGACACCCCAAAGCATCTATCCAGAGCTTTCCTGAAAAGGCATAAACCATGCAAGGAGAACAGTGTTGGCAATAGCATTTGGGGCCAGGGAGGCAGATAGGTTAGTGGTAACAGATTTAACAGAGCCTGAACTGACAGGTGGAAAAACAGTAACACATGTGACAGAAACCCCCGCCCTACTGATGGCTCAGGATTTGGTTACACCCAGTACCTCTGGAAGTGGCATGAAGGTGAGACTAAGCACAATATTGTTTAATGGCTTTTTTAGGGTCTCCAGACCCCTGCTCCTAGTTTGCCGAGCGGGTTAGCACCCTTCCTCTAGCACAACAGAAAATCAGAAATTTTTGTTCTCCAGAGAAGGCAGACACCCTTCCAGATTGAAGGGGCCCACCAAACACCTAGTGTAGTGAATGAAGAAAGACCCGGATAAAGAGAATACCCTGGGAGCTTCCAGAGAGAGAAAGCTGGCCACATCCAGGGGGTTAAGGAAAATGGGTGGCACCCCACTTCTCAGGAGCAGTGAACTAGATACTGGAAAGGAGAGGACAGTGCTTTGGTGCCTTCAGAATGCTCCAGAAAATGGTTTCTGACCTGGAATTCTACACCCAAATAATCAGTCACGTGTGAAAGTAAACCTTCAGCCTCTCCCAGAAGGGGGTTCAGTCCAGGAAAGCAGGGAGTTGGATGATGGTAAAGGGAGATCCATATGTCCGGCCAACCCAGAGATAGAGCCATCTAGTTTGGAGCTTCTGGAGCGTTGTCTCCAAGAAGAGAAGGTTAGACAAATATCTCGTGCATTTCAGTGCCCAGTGTATTTATAGAGATTCAGGTATTTGAGAGGGTTCACAGGTGAATTATACTAAGCAAACTAAGCAAAGGAAAACAACAAGATGGTTACTAACTCTAAGAAAAAACACATGTGCGAGGAAGGAAACGTCACCATGGTCTGTGGCTCGGCTTGATTCCTGTTCACCTAGGCAGATGGTGGGACAGGGTAGTGTGGGTGGTTGGGGGGACATGGTGGGACGGGGTGTGTGGGTGATTGGGGGATATGGTGGGACAGAGTATGTGGATGATTGGGGGACATGATGGGACGGGGTATATGGAGGATTGGGGGACATGGTGAGATGGGGTATATGGGTGGTTGGGGGTACTGGGGAGTGGGGGAAGCTTCCATGTAAAAGTTGAGATAATGTTTCAGTGTGGAAATTAAGAATTAGCTTCATAAATGTGGTATTTGAGGATAGGAAGGTAGAAACAAAAGACAAAGTTAAGTGAGTTGGAAGGATTTTCTCCAGAGAGTAAGGGGCAAGGGAGGTGGAAAGGAATGCTGGTTTTGTTAATAAGACGTGTAGCATTATTTGTCTCTTTAAGTTGTGTGTATATAGTTTTAACTATAAAACCCAAACGGGGACACCTGGGTGGCTCAGTCGGTTAAGTGTCCGACTTCAGCTCAGGTCATAAACTCATGGTTGGTGGGTTCGAGCCCTGCGTCGGGCTCTGTGCTGACAGCTCAGAGCCTGGAGTCTGCTTCCAATTCTGCATCTCCCTCTCTCTGCCTCTCCACTGCTCGCTCTCGCTCTCTCTCAAGAATAAATAAATATTTAAAAAGAAAGAAAAAAAAAAAGCAGGGTGCACCTGGCTGGCTCAGTCAGTGTAGCATATGAATCTTGATCTCAGGGTTGTGAGTTCGAGCCCCATGTTGGGTGTCAAAATTACTTAAAACCTTAAAAAACAAACCAGAGTAATACCTAGATCTGCATATTGAATAACAAGGATTATTTTAATATGGATTATTTTGATGTATGTCCTTGAAGAAATGGCAAAGATGCAAAATGCTATTTGGGTAATACGTTTTTCAGAGCATCTAAATGCATGAGAGTATATCAGAGAGAGTAATTGCAGGCCTAGAGCAATTTGTCTTTTAGAATTAGTTTTCAGGAAAATCTGTGTGAATCACAGAGACAGGTAACTGGTATATTGCACTCTTACTGACGCCCTCAGTGGGAAGCATCCTGCCAGGTTCTTTTGGCCATACCAGGAAGTTCAGGGGGTGATTGGGGCGGGGGGCGGGGGGCATCAAGAAACCTGTAATCCAATTGGAGAAGTTAAACAGGAACTCATGAAGACTTCAGTGATCTTAAAGAATGAATAATACGTCCTAATACTTTTACAAAGAGCACTGCAAGATTTCGAAGGGGAGGAATTATGAAAGCAGACTCACAGACAAAAGCATGAAATATTTTCATCTTTATTATTTGGAAGAATCAGACTGTTCAGATGTAGCAACAGCAGATATTGAGAGAAAAATACTACAAGGTCACCAGGGCTACATATAGTTGGTCTCCTAATTGCTGGAAAACTAGTCGTTTTCTCTTGGGCTTATCACATCCGTAAGGGTCATCCCATATCAGCAGCAAATTTTAGGAATAGTTTTCATTTCGAGGGTTAGATTTATAGAAAGGGGTCAAGGCTTCATTTATTTTGAAGGAATACTGCTAGACAGAGTATTCTTGTAAAAGCCATCGCCCTCACAGGATGGTTTTTTATTTTGTTTTCCACTGTGGCGTGTGGAGCTTGGTCACAGTGGTGGTAGAACGAGGTGTTTGCTTTCTCAGCCCCGCCTCCCAAATCCTGCCCCAGAGGCGTGAATCTGCTCACCTCAATTTTGTTCAGCGATATTCTGCTTCAGTTTATTAATTTAATGTCTTATTTATTTGGCTGGTTTTATTTACACTTGTGTAATTGATGTTAATCACATAACTCTTCTGTACGCAGGGCCATAGGACACTAAGCCTCCGGAGCTGGCTTCTGCCTGAAGGTTCCGTAAAGCCTTGGAATTTGATCGTAATGTGTGATTCGATCATTTATGTGCCAGGCGTATTTTTATTGTCCTTATTAGTTTGTCTCTTAAGAACCAAGAATGGCCCCGTTCACCTTTGCCAAGTTTTCCCTGCAGAGCCTGTGCCTATGGCTGTACGCTTCCTTCCCGGAGACCCCTGGGTTTGTCAGTATTCCTGTAAGACACCCCGACAGCCTTGTGATCTCAAACAAACGCGGTAGCCCTTTGCATCTCTGAGTGTGGCGACAGCACAAGCACCAGCATGGCCCCAGCGTGTGCACGCCCTTCTCAGCTAATGGTCATTCCATCATGTATAACAATTAAGAGGCAAGAGAGAAATACTAACATTACACTTAGTGACTTAGTGCTTCTGTATTTTCTGTCTTTGTGGATTTATATCCACTTAGAAATTGTTCACATCCACCCTCCCCCAAATGGTTCATTAATTAACTAAATGAAACGTTAGTTCAAAGTCTTAAAGCTAATAAGGATTTTTAGAAATTACACTTAAGCTGACTCACTATGGAGAAACACAGTTGGTAATGACATACTGAGTTTTTCAGGGAGATGACATTTTAATAATTTTACCCAGATAGATATGGAGAATAATTAAGTTTACATATGCACTTATCTCAAATGCCAAAGAACAACCCTTTTTAATTTTTTAATAATTTTTTTAAGTTTATTTATTTTGACAGAGACAGAGCATGCAAGCAGGGGAGGGACAGAGAGAGAGAGAGAGAGAGAGAGAAAATCCTAAGCAGGCTCTGCAGGGTCAGCACAGATCCTGACGTGGGGCTCAAATTCCCAAAACATTGAGATCATGACCTGAGCCAAAATCAAGAGTTGGACGCTTAACCAACTAAGTCACCCAGGTACCCCATAAACAACTTTTTAAAAAGACATATAATAATTCAGTATATTGAACATGCAGTTTTTACATTCTCATAATTTTTAAAGGTTGAATCTTACCAAACCAATAAAACTACTAAAGGACATTTAAGAAATTTAAGCTTAACTAGGCTTTTCACCAGAACATAAACCCAAGTCTTACCTGACATAAAAAGTTACACTTTGCGGGACAAGACATGGCTGTTTTTAACCACCATCACCAAACCAGTCTCATGTGTTTAAGGATTGACCTGCACTAGGACTGTCATAAAATATTTCCTTAGTTACCATGTATTCTCAGTGTCTTTATTGGTACATTTTTGTGACTACCTGCCGATCCGAAGCGGCAGACCGGCTCTAGTGCAAGGAAGGCTCCTTCCTCTGTTGTAGGAAGTGGAAGGAGTAGAGGAACAAGTAGGGAGATTTGAGGTTTGGTGGCTGGAGATGAAGGCATCTCTCTTCTCAGGGCAGAGGGGAGGCCAGTTGGTGAGAGGGCAGCAGGGCGCCTGCAGGGAGTGCCATGCGGGGAATGACAGAGAAGCTCGCACTGGGAGTCTGTTGTCGATTTAGTGGGAAGGCATCTTGACGGCGGGCCTTCCCTCACAAGTGCTCCGGGCAGCGTGGAGCCGGCCGCTGATGGGGCTCGCCCGGGCTGCAGGTTCTGCCAGGCGGTTCCGGACGGAGAGTTGGGGATACTTGAGAACAAGTGGTTAGGAAGTTGGTTCGTGTCACTCAGGCTGGCCCCAGGGGAAGGTGACGCCAGCAAGGGTGAAGGCTGTACATGACTGGCCAGCGGGCGGGGTGTCGGGAGGGGTGGGGGGGCGGGGTTGGAAGGCATCAGGGATGGTGCCAAGAACTGGGGTGGAAAGAAGAGTGAGAACCAGAAGTCCTGAGGGAACAGGGAGGGGAGCGTGTGTGTCCAGGATGCCGCAGGTGAGAGCAGAGAAGAGGAAACAAGGATGGAAAAGCCAGGCGGCATCTCCTCAAGGGGAAAGGTGACAGTCTGGAGGCAGTAATGGGGTGCGGGCCTGCGCTTCCACCCCACTGCTCTTCAGGACTCGCGACCAAAGCGGCCTTTTCTCCAGAGGCTGGCAGGGGTGGCAGGCTCCAGGCAGGGCCGGGCGCCGGGGGCATCGTCCCGGCAGAGAGTGCGGCCGGTGGGAAGATTTGCTCCCAAGCCGGCCGCTGGCAGCCGGGCCTGGGAGACGGGAGGTCTGTACGGGCCTCTGTACCGGCCGCCCACACTCGGGGTCCTGCCTGAGGTAGACAAGGCTGTGCGGTGATGGGATTAGTCTCCTCCAGGAAGCCAGGCACCGGCTGCCAGGTGGTCCTGACCACAGTGCCCTGATTGAGCTCCTCTTGTGCCACTTGGTCATTGGCGGGCAGGTAGGGAAGACACTGAGACTGATCAGCTGTTGCTGGGTGGCACCAAATCTTTCAGTTCTGTCAACAAATGATCAGTGGCCACCTCCATGAGCCAGGCCCCTGCAGCCATTGGCATAGGAGAGGTTGAGGCGTAGCTTTTCACCCCAGGCCCCCGACGGCCGGGCGTCTGCCACACTGCCCACCTGCACCCAGCCTGCAGGGACAGCAGCTTCTCTTTGTCAGACTTCGTGAGATTGTGGAAGAGCTGCTATTTAAGCAAAGGGAGCATCACGGGTGTAATAGAATCCGCATAGACTCCCCCGACGAATACATTGTTCTTACCTGTCCTTCTGCAGAACTAACTTATTATGTGTCTTGTTTTGGCCATCCCCACCCATTCGCAGAGTTTGGCGTGTACTGCAGCCACTGTCGGAGTGAGGTCCGTGGCACGCAGTGTGCCATCTGCAAAGGCTTCACATTCCAGTGTGCCATCTGCCACGTGGCCGTGCGTGGGTCGTCCAATTTCTGCCTGACCTGCGGTCATGGGGGCCACACCAGCCACATGATGGAGTGGTTTCGGACCCAGGAGGTGTGTCCCACCGGGTGTGGATGCCACTGTCTGCTTGAAAGCACATTCTGAACTACAGACCTTGGGAGTTGTCACAAATCCCAGAGGACCCCCTAAATGCCGGACGACAAGTTCTCTACCAGGAGAGAGGCTCCCGAGCCCATTCCCAACTATACTGGGATGTGTTCCCCTCAGAGACTGCCGCACATCAGCTGTTCACGGGCTTTTGCTTCCTTCCATGTGGCTGTTGATGGCAGGGATGTCACTGGGCAGCAGAGCAGATGTGCAGAGCCTCATAGCCGGGTGGGAAATTTTCTTGAAGGAAAGCACCTGGCTCCAGAGCCATGTTTACCTTTAAGGTGTTAACCTTAAAGCACTGAACAGCATCCTTTCTGATGCCATTTCAGACCAAGATGGGATGCAGAGGACGGTCTCCTGAGCCAAAGGACGATGGACATTAACTTAGTTGACAGTGGGCCTGTGATATAAACTGGTACATTTAATGGACTGATGGATAGTGGCCTTTTAAAAATGATACTTAAATTATAAATTTATGATGTACCTAAGGAGTCTAAAGATGTCTCTTTTGTTTGTTATTTCTCTTTAAGCTGCTCTTCCTTGGCTAATAAAATTCAGGTTATTGTTTGGGGGAAAAACAAAGAAGATTGAACAATGTTTTAGTGAAATTGTTTCTACCCTGCTTCTAATTCTAAGTCAACTCTTTTGGATAGGACCAAAGTCAGTGCTCAGATTTTCAAAGGAAATGCTGATTTACTCTTGTCTTCTAATAGAAAATAAAATTTGACATTGAAATCTCTTTCCAACCCTTTTAATCATTTTATTTAGCAGAAGGAAAATGTGATGGTTTCATAGCCCTGATAGTCGAGTCTCCCATTGCCACAGAGTAGGTTGGCTGAGTTCCGGTAAGTTCCTTCCATTCTTTGTTTGAGCTCCCTCACAGACTTTGCCCTGTGTTTATCTGCATTCCAAGTGACTGTGACTGCATGTCCGCCTATTTTATCCTTCAGTGATTTTTACACTCTTCACATATGGGCCAGGGAATTTTTTTTTTCATACTACTGAAATACGTTATTTGTTTCTTAGAATTTTATAATTCCAGGGGTGCCTGGGTGGCTCAGTCAGTTAAGTTTCCAACTCTTGATTTCATTTCAGCTCAGGTCATGATCTCATGGTTCATGAGATTGAGTCCTATGTCAGGCTCTGTGTTGAAAGCTCAGAGCCTGCCTAGGATTCTTTCTCCTTTTCTCTCCTCCGCACCCCCCCAAAATAAACAAACATTTTTTAAAAAGATTTTTGCTATTCCAAATTGGTTAACTTAAGAAATATAACTACATGTCTCAAAACATGTCATACACCACTGTTTTAAACTATAGTTCATGACCTAGTAATGGATTGTGAAATCGGTTTGTTTAGTAGATAAAAACTAACATTTAAAAAAAAAAGTGAAATAGCACTGGGTGTTATATGGAAACCAACTTGACAATAAACTATTTAAAAAAATGAAATAGAGTAGAAGAGAAATGATGAGCATGTACCATACATAGGGTGAATATCATTCTGTGTAACTTGTTTATGAGTATATATGCACAGCATAACTTCATTTCTAACTGAGAGTTGTGGTCAAAACATTTTGAAAACACTGTTTTGTATGATGCTTCTCCTTCATCCCCTGTGTTGCCAGGCACAGAGCACCGTGATGTAAGGGAAGCCTAGAGATTATGTGCAGTGTGAGAACAGAGGTGTCGCCTGGGCTCTGACTAGGGTCAGATGCCAGCATCTCCACAGAGTGAGCTGAGAAACAAGATGCAACAGGTAGGTTGGGAGGCTGACAAAGGAGAAAACCTGAATTTGTCCACTGTTTTTTACTTACTTGTGTGGAGGCTGCTGTAATGGCCATCACAGAATAGGTTGACTAATTTATACTAAGATAAAGGATCTGTCATGTTCTTCGATGAAATCACACCATTTGCAGAGAACAATCTTTTATTGTTCCCCACTGCTCAAGCTGGTGTAAAATCTGTCCCTATCTGTCCCCATCAAGAATTAGATGTTTTTATTGTTTTAGTTTATTATAAGAACCTTGTCTTTTAAAATTGAAAAATCCTTCAGATAAAATAAAATAAAAACTATAAAACTGAAAAATCTTAATAATGGGTGTTAAGAAATTTAAAGCTTGAAAGATTACATAATGTTGGGATGCCTGGGTGGCTCAGTCACTTGAACATCCGACTCTTGGTATCAACTCAAGTCATAATGTTAGGGTCATGGGATCCAGCACTGGGCATGGAGCCTGCGTGGGATTCTCTCTCTCCCTCTTCTCTGTCCCTTTCCCACTGATGTGCTCCCTATAAGTAAATAAGTAAGTAAAAGATTACATAATGTCTTCTTTCAATATGTGTGTTCCTTTTGAATTTCTAAGTTACAGAACAAAAGTCTAATACATATATTTTTTTCAGAAGTCTAATATTTTAAAAATATTTGCATTTTAAGGGCAACAGGAGATGGTGACAGATTGGGAGGACCCTAGGCTCACCTTGTCCCACGAACACAATTAGATAACTGTCAAATCATCCTAAATACCCCAGAAACTGACCTGAAGACTGACAAAACAAAATCTACAAGTAAAGGTAGAGAAGAAGACACATTGAAGAAGGTAGAAAGTGCAGAGGCATGGTTTAGGGGAGAAATGGATCATGGCTGCCACAGAAGGGAGGGAATTATGGCCGCAGAGAAGGGTGAGAGAGAGGAACACGCAGGGGAATGCATGAGGGGAATATTCCCCCAAGGTCATTGGCTTGGAAGATGAGAGAGGCTGAATTTCATGAGTGCTTATAACCAGTGTGGCTTAAAGCCTGGAGTTTTAAAGGTCAGTGAGCTTGGCTGGGATAGAGCTTGGAAGACACTGTATTGCTCCTGGAGGGAAGGCAGGCAAACAGTCCAGGGGCATACAGCATGGAAACAGTGATCTGAAGAGTGCCTAGGGTCTACAGTGGGGAGAGTATTTGCTTTTCTTAGAGCACTTCTCTGAAGAGGCAGTGTTCACAGAGACACCTCTCCAGGAATAAAGGAGCTAGCTGATGTCATTTCCCTCCCCCTCAGCATAAACAGAGCCACCAATGGGAAGCAGTGCAACATAGTGACTGCGTAATTTGTTTACACTAAGCCCTACCCTCCCTGCTCCAGTGGAACTGCCTTTCTCCGTCCTGAATGTTTCAGTCTCACTGTGGCAGGCCCCTCCCTCAAAAGACCAACACAAACCTGTGCCCATACCATGTCTCCCAACCAGAGTTTTGCAGGTTGTTCCAGTGGAGTACTTCCAGTGGAGATGGTAACACATCTCACTTCACAAGCAGACCAGAGCACTCCTAGTTAAAACTTGTCACATTCAAGCCAGGGACCAAACACTGCCCACAGCAGGCAAGGAGAGCCTCTGCAGTGACTGATCTGAAGGATAGAGCAGCCAGACACAACAGCAGAGCACACGTAGCACACACTAAAGTGCCAGGCTCTGAGTACAACATGACCTCTTCTTCATAAGACCATTACTTTCACAAGCAGGAGACATAATTGGCTTTTCTAACACAGAAGAAGGTAGAGACTTAGGCAAAATATAAAGGCAGGAATTTATTCCTGAGAGAACATAAGGCCACAGCCAGAGATCTAAGTGAACAGATATATGTAATGTGCCTGATGGAGAATTTAAAGCACCAATCATAAGGATACTCAGTGGGCTTGAGAAAAGAATGGAGGACATCAGTGAGACACTTACCACAGAGATTAAAGAGTTAAAAAAGAATCAGAGATGAAGAGTGCAAAAAAAAAAAAAAAAAGATAAGAAACACACATGATGCAATGAACAGCAGCAGGCAGGAAGAAGGAGAGGAACAAATTAATGACCTACAAGACAAAGTAGTGGAAATCAATAAAAAAAAAAAAAAAAAAAGATAAGAAACACACATGATGCAATGAACAGCAGCAGGCAGGAAGAAGGAGAGGAACAAATTAATGACCTACAAGACAAAGTAGTGGAAATCAATGAAGCTGAACAAAAGAGAGGGAAACTATGGAGAATGAGAATAGACTTAGGAAATTCAGTGACTCCATCAAACATAGTAACATTCATATTACAGGAGTCCCATAAGAAGAAGAGAGAGAAAGGGGGCAGAAAATTTATTTGAATAAAAAATAGCCGAAAACTTCCCTAATCTGGGGAGGGAAACTGGTATCCAGATCCAGAGGCACAGAGAACTCCCATAAAAATCAACAAAAGCAGGCCCACACCAAGATATTTTGTAATTAAATTTGTAAAATGTGGTGATAGAAAAAATCCTAAAAGCAGCAAGACAAAAGAAGTCATTAACTTACAAAGGAAAACCCATAAAGGTAGCTGGAGATTTTTCAACAGAACCTCGGAAAGTCAGAAGGGGGTGGCATGATATAATCAAAGTGCTGAATGGAAAAAACCTGCAGCCCAAAATACTGTCTCCAGCAAGGCTATCATTCAGAATAGGTATATAAAGAGTTTCCCAGACAAACAAAAACCAAAGGAGTTTGTGACCATTAACCAGCCCCGCAAGAAGTATTAAAGAGGACTATTTGAGTGGAAAGGAGACACGGAAAGTGACAATAAAGGCAGAAAACGAAGCAGTAAAAATGAGTATTTCTGTAAAAGAAATCAGTGAAGGAACTCAAAAAAGGATGTAAAATATATTAACAGCTATCTAAAACAGGAAGGAGAGAAGAATGGATTCAAATCTAAATGACCATCAATTTAATATAGAATGCTATAGGGGTGCCTAGGTGGCTCAGTTGGTTAAGTGTCTGGCTTCAGCTCAAGTCATGATCTCACAGTTTGTGAGTTCGAGCCCTGCATCAGGCTCTGTGCTGACAGCTCAGAGCCTGGAGCCTGCTTCAAATTCTCTGTCTCCCTCTCTGCCCCTCCCCTGCTCGTACTCTATCTCTTTCTCAAAAATAATAAACATTAAAAAATAAAAAAAAATAGACTGTTATATGCAGATTTTATATCATATATCCATATATCAAAACCACTAATAAATGTGCAAAGAATAAAGAGAAAGAAATCCAGATATACCAATAAAGAAAATCAGCCAACCATGAAAGAGGAAAAGACAAGAAAAGATCAGAGAAAATCTCCAGAAACAACCATAAGACAAGAAATAAAATGGTAATAAATACAGTCTATCAATAATTACTGTGAATATAAATAGACTAATTACTCCAAAAGACATAGAGTGACAGAATGGATAAAAAAATAAGACCCATCTACATATGTTGCCTACAAGAAACTCACTGCAAATTGAGAGTGAGAAGATGGAAAATATTTATAATGTAAATCAATTGTCAAAAGAAAACCAGAGTAGCAATACTTATGTTGGACAAATTAGACTTCAAAACAAAGACTTTTTAAACAAAGACAAAGAAGGACACTATATAATAATAGAGGGGACAATCCAACAAGAAGATATAAGACATGTAAACATTTATGCACCCAACATGGGACACCCACATATATAAAACAATAACAAACATAAAGGAACTCATCTATGATAATAATAATATAATAGTAGGGGACTTTAACCCCCTGATTACATCAATGGACAGATCACCTAAACAGAAAATCAGTAAGGAAACAATGGCTTTAATGACACACTGGACCAAATGGACTTAAATATTCAGAGCATTTCATCCTAAAACAACAGAGTATATATTCTTTTCAAGTGTACGTGGAATGTTCTCCAGAATAGATCACATATTAGGCCACAAAACAGGCCCTAA